AAGTATATAATATCATATATATATACCAAGATATTGTTGAACTTATATCTTAATATACCATTGTTGGGAATGAATAAGATCAATAATATAGTGATTAACAATGGAACTACATCATAGTTATATATTATATATTATATTGTATATATTAATATATCTGGTTAATTAATCAATATAGTATATAATATCTGGTTAACAACAAGTATATATTAAGTATAAATATCCCCATATAAGTAGCATTAATATAATTATATGTTGATTAACAAATGTACTTAACAACGTCAAATGCCCTCTGGTAATTTAACATAGCTATTGAAAATGGCCATAGAAATAGTTGATTTTCCTATGAAAAAATGCCACGTTCAATAGCTATGTTAAATTACCAGAGGGTAACAACTATATAGTTGTTATGGTACCTATACCATTTATGTCAATACCATTATAATAGCTATATGTCTTGAATGAGGTGATGATATTATGTCCCAGTTGAACAAGCGATTGCACCCCGTGATGGACCAGTATAAATTCATGTTCCAAACCATCAACCAGTATATATATATATATATTACTGACAATAATCCCCATCAAAATACTGACAATAATCCCCATCAAATTACTGGTAGTATATAATATCAAATAGTACCCTCTGGTAATTTAACATAGCTATTGAACATGGCCCAGTCGAAATAGTTGATTTACCCATTAATAGCATGGTGATTGTCCCATCAGTTTTTGTATGTTTACCAGAGGGTATATAATATCACCATTCTGTACCATAGCTATTGGTACTGATAATCCCCAGAGAGTACCATTATCATTACCAGAGGGATATTAGTACCATTCTGTACCATGAAAATCCCATGAATTTTCTGCCTCGTTCTGCTTCTCCAACTGTGTGGCATTGGCCTTGGAGGCTGCGCACATGGCCTGCACCGCAGGCAGAACATCCCGGGGAAACCGAAACGGGTTGACCTCCAAAAATGCTGATTGAACCAACAGAAATAGGAGGTTTAATTGGAAAAGTGATATTTTAGCATACCATACGTTGTTGACCTGCAAAAAACATAGAGCTGAGGCAAGAAACCTCGCGGATTGAGGCGGCAATCAGTTGGATTATAGGGAAATTGACATAGAAAGATTGGGGTTGAACCAAGACACATTGTGAGTTACCCTCTGGTAAACTAACATAACAATGGAAAATCACCATTTTTAATGGGAAAATCCACTATAAATGGCCATTTTCAATAGCTATGTTAAATTACCAGAGGGTAATCAACAAAACTTAATTTTAACAAACAAACATGAGCCGCGCTTGGCAGCTGTGCTAAGTCAAGGAGACTTAAGCGGGGTTCTCCCATTTCAAATTCTGTTGACTAACCATGGGTGCCCAGATACAGCATGACAACAAGGCCTATTAGGTTTACAACTGATGAAACTCCATTCTTTAATGAGTTTAATAGTATACCGAGTTGAACAGTTAAACCCCCATTATACTCTCAATAGATTGATATACGGGAAGCTCGCAAAACCAGAAACTCTGGTGTTTGTCCCAAAAATCATCCAGCTTCCCTGCAGAATTTCCCGAAATCATATTGTGGATTGTATAATTATATATATATATATATACATACATGATATATATATATATATATCTTAAATATCCTTTTATATCCCATCAAATCCTCATTAAATGGCTGGTTAAACCAACATTGCCCAGGTTGATCACTGCAGCTGTCCTCATGCTCCTTGAGCCTCTCGGTCGCAGCCTTGACCGTGGTTGCTATCCATCATGCACCAGTTGGGTTTGCCTGAAAATTTAGTACCTGGTACTCCCGAATTTGATGATCATCATGCGATGGTTCATATTGGTTCATCATAATTTTCCTTCGTAAACTTGCCATTTAGTTAGGAGAAGTCAATTTGCAGGTGGGCAAGCCTAAGAACCAAAGAATTTGCGGCTTCCCAACTATATATCTACTAACTGCAGCTGGTTTGTGAATTCAGAATAAAACCAATTCAGATTGATTATATAAAAATATACAGTACATACATATTATACATATTATACATATGTAACCAATATATACAAACATATATGGGTCACCAGTGTGTCAGTTCCCTAAGGCCCTAATTCGTTTGCTCGTAAAAAAACTGTCAACCAATGGAACTCAGTCCCATCCTGGCGCACCTGCATCTCCTTCTCTCGGGTCTCCTGCTGTTCAGCCAGTTGAGCTTCCTTTCCGCGCGCAGCGGAGACGGAGCTCACGGAGCTCGGATCCGGTGACGGTCCGTAGGAAACATCGGGATATTGGGGGATCCGGGGATGGTTTAAGACAATGAGCTGTGGCTCATCTGAAACAAAAGAAAGTTACAACGATAGCTGGGCATAGCTGGGCATAGCTGGGCTAGAATTTCTATGAATTTCTTTCCATCTGTGAAGTCTGTCCAGAAACTCTTAACTTTCCCAGCTGTGCAAGGCATCGCAACCAGCAAAGGCCTCAACTGAAGTTGCCAAACTCTGGGGGTGAAGTCACACCCCGATAGTCAAAGCCAGGGAAAGCCAGGGAAAGCCTTAAAAGTCAGAAAATGGGACGACTCACAAGTTCATTTCACAAACCTCAAGTTTTTGCCCATGAAATTCCCATGTGTTACCAGGTTTTTGAGGGGTCAATTCTCCAGACTGTCACCAACATTTACCAGCTATAACTTACTAATGTGGGTAAAACAATGTCATAAACCATCCCCCAGTCATCACCATGTTTATAGGTGGTATATATGAACCACATTATCAATCATTATCCCAGGAAAATGGCTGGCAAAATTGCATTGTTTGAACCACATTATCAATCATTAACCATATACAATTGTAGATTATTACTGTTGATCATATATTTACCATACGTTGACCATATATTAACCATATATGACAGTATCAATAATATGGGATTTTCCAAGTTGTCTAATCGATCAGTTTAACACGCTTCGCCTCCGGTCATTTTCAACCCACAAAACCAGCAGCCTGGGACTCGTAAGTCTCGTTGAACTTTTGCAGCTTGCCTTGGAAGGAGACAAGGCGGTGCCGCCAGTTATGTTTGTTAGTCTTTCAACCATATTTATGTATAATTATATATATATATCAACTGTATCAACTATATATATATATCATAATATGTAAATATGTATATATATATATATACATATACCCTTTATTATTTGCATGAATATCCGCCGACCCCGGCTGCGCAAGGGGGAGCGCGTTAGGGAATAAGACAGCAGCACCCAGCCAGTAGCCAGCAGTCAATATCCGCCGACCCCGGCAAACGCAAGGGGGAGCGTGCCAGGGAATAATACTTTTGACTCTTGTTTCGGACTACTACTACTACTACTACTACTACTACTGCCATGGTGTTTTCCCATCCGGCAGGTGCCTTTTGAACAGAAGGAGTCACAGGAGCAGGAGCAGCAACAGGAGGGTTGTATGTCTCATTGTACAAACAGTGGTATAAAAATTGGTCGAAAACCATAAAACCTTGTTCAAAACCAATTTTTTTCTAGGGTTTCAGAAGCGACGTTAGGGACTTTTTGGGCTCGATTTTGGCGCTGTTCCGTCCTTCAGGGCCACTGTGTTTCCCTGTCCGGGAGGATGCGTTTTCAGCCTCGGGAGGAAGAGCAGCAGCAGCAACAGGAGCAACAGGAGGGTTGTATGTCTCATTGTACAAACAGTGATATAAAAATTGGTCGAAAACCATACAACCTTGTCCAAAACTATTGCTTTTCTAGGGTTTCAGAAGGGACGTTAGGGACTTTTTGGGCTCGATTTTGGCGCTGTTCCGTCCTTCAGGGCCACTGTGTTTCCCTGTCCGGGAGGGTGCGTTTTCAGCCTCGGGAGGAAGAGCAGCGGCAGCAACAGGAGCAACGGGAGGGTTGTATGTCTCATTGTACAAACAGTGGTATAAAAATTGGTCGAAACAGTGGTATAATAAAAATTGGTCGAAAACCATGCAACCTTGTCCAAAACTATTGTTTTTCTAGGGTTTCAGAAGGGACGTTAGGGACTTTTTGGGCTCGATTTTGGCGCTGTTCCGTCCTTCAGAGCCACTGTGTTTCCCTGTCCGGGAGGGTGCGTTTTCAGCCTCGGGAGGAAGAGCAACAGGAGCAACAGGAGGGTTCTATGTCTCATTGTACAAACAATGGTATAAAAATTTGTCGAAAACCATAAAACCTTGTTCAAAACTATTGTTTTTCTAGGGTTTCAGAAGGGACGTTAGGGACTTTTTGGGCTCGATTTTGGCGCTGTTCCGTCCTTCGGGGCCATGTGTTTCCCTGTCCGGGAGGTGCTTTTCAGCCTCGGGATGGAAGAGCACATCAGCAACAGGAGCAACTGAGGGTTGTATGTCTCATTGACAAACAATTGTTAACGTTTGTACCAAACAGTGGGTCTAAAAATTGGTCGAAAACTATTGTTTTTTCTCTAGGTTTCAAGAAGGGCACGTTAGGGACTTTTTTGCTCTATTTTTGGCGCTGTTCCGTCCTCAGCCGACTGTGTTTCTCCTGTCCGTGAGGATTCTTTTTCCAGCTCGGGAGGAAGAGCAGCAGCAGCAAACAGGAGCACAGTAGGGTTGTATGTTCTCAATTGTACAAACGTGATATAAATGGGGTCGAAACCATAAAAACCTTGTCCAAAACTAATTGTTTTTCTAGGGTCAGAAGGAACGTTAGGGACTTTTCGATTTTGGCGCTGTTCCGTCCTTCAGGGCCACTGTGTTTCTCTGTTGGGCAGGGTGCGTTTTCAGCCTCGGGAGGAAGAATTGGTTGAAAACTATTGTTTTTCTAGAGTTTCAGAACGGAGGTTAGGCACTTTTTGGGCTCAATTGTCCAAACCGGGGTCGGCGGCAGGGGCGGCAGCCCTTAAATAATCCTCCATTCTCCCCCTCCAATCTAACCCATCCAACCAACAAATTCAACAAACTCATCAACATCATCAACCACCAGAAATGTGAAGATCAATTTTGGCCATTCCTCACCTTGCTTTCCAGCACCGAAACCACCTTCTTCGCAGTCTCTGAAGGACTCACCTTCTCATGGATCAGCTTGGGGTCCGTCTGCTGGAGCTTCTGGCACATGCTGACAGCTGCCGCCTCGCCGGTGTGCAAAATCACCGTGGTGACCCCCTGCGCCATCAAACTCTGCAAGGGTTCTTCCGGACGCCCCGTACACGTGAGGCCGGTGCTCTTGTCGCAGAAACCTGGGAAAGAAGAATTGATGAACCAAATAGTTTGATTGGAGGTTCATCATGCAAGCCTTTGCATCATTCTAATTTACCTTGGAAAATATTTGAAAATTAACAAAATGAATGACAATCTACCAACGAAAACATATCAACCATCACAACCGCACATCTAACCCGAATCCCAGGAACTGTCGTGCTCCACCGTGCTGTAGTCCTTGCCATGGCAGGGGGCATCAGTGATCACCTGGTGGGCTGAGCCGTTTGCTCTTGGTTGATGGCACATCGCAAAGTGTCGTGAAATCACAATTCTTCACATTGGACAAACATCGTCAAAAATGTAATTCATCCGCGAAAACTTGGAGAACATGGACATATGTACCAAAATCATCCAAAATCGTCATTTACGGAACTGTTTACAGTATATAAATATTCATGAAACGAACCAGCACCAGCCAGTACCAAAGTCACCACCATCAACTTCTCATCCGCGTTCCATTCCAAGTTGGCTGCTGCCAGCAGGGCCCCGGTGAGCTCCTCTGGCACCTTGCCGCCATGGCCCAGGCCTCCAGGGCTTTTCGACGCTCCCAACAGATACCGAAAAATACCATGGGGATCGAAAACCAATGGAAAATTGGGATTATATGGGATCAGAATGGAGAGATTGGTTTTAGGGAAACAATGTTTTGAGAAACCCGGTTTTCGCCATGAAATATGGGGTCCTCTAAATGGTCCCATCATCCAAGTCCAGGATGATAGGAAATGCAAATAGATATGTTAATGCGGTAAACCCAAAACTGCCCAAAACCATGTAGCATCCCCAACTCTACCAGACATGGGTGGGTATTGACCATCAAAAACTAGGTTTGTTGATGTTTGTTATATTGGGTTTACCCCATTAGTGCAGGTTGGCAAAAATGTCAAGAAGTGGGCGCGTGCCACATGTATGGTCAAGGCTTGGGTTATGGTCAATCCATAAACCAATCAAACCCACATGACATTGAGCCATGGATGGTGGAAAGACGTCCATCAAAAGAAAAGTAAAAGTTGAGAAACCATGGGAGAAACTATTGGTACAATAGCTGGATAATTATCGGATAATATGGATAAACCATGATAAACCTATATGGTTTTGTCTGAAAACATGCTACCCCTAAATCCATTGGTTTATCATTTATCATCATGTTGCCATTAAAATGCTGGGGAGTATATCCCATTTTAAGACACGCCTAACACACCTATGTGGAATTATATATATATTTTTATTATATATATATATATGGATAGGATGGGGATAACATTCCCCCAATTTCCCACACCTTGGTTGATCCACTTCTGCAAGGCTGAAGTGTCTTTGGTCCAAGTACCCCCCAGCTGGCAGAACTTCTCAGCCGTCAAGGTGTCACTGTGTTCCTCCTTCACCTCACAGGGGCTTAGTGTCATCACCCAGCAAAAGGGATGACACGGTGATTCCCAAAAGGCCTGGAAAAATATGGAAAAAACAAAAAAAATAGCCAGAAATGAACTGGAACTAGGGATGTCGCATCTCCAACAGTCGTCGAGACCAGAAATGTTATTCAAAGTGGATGATTCAGCAACCCCTTGCCTCACGACCACCAAAGACAGATACCACTGGCCTTCCCAGTTTTCGTGTTTCGGCATCCCAGTCGAAGTACGCCACTGCTGCCATTTCAACATCAACGGCGGCATTGGGCAATGAAGCGATTTTCATTTTCTGCATCGCCTCAATGATTTTGGACACACTGTCTTTGGCCTGAGCAATTTGTGTCTTCATACTGCCCGTGTAGTCCAGAACGAAGCACAGCTGCACCTTAAGACTGGTCACCGAAGTATCAATCTGCGGTACCTTGAAAGTTTCTGGAACCTGGCGGCCAGGTTCAAAATGATTCATCCTTATGTTGTGGATATGGGTCAAAATCATCACCCCAAAAATGGATGGGTTTATAATATAATACTAATACTAAAAATGGTTCAATTCTTGGGCAATTGGGCAATGGTGAGTCCATGGTGAATCCATTGGTCCATTCAACCCTCATTTTGCCACGAAAAAGATACACCACAATGGCCGTACCTTGTGAAGGCTGTAGACACAGGGGATGTCGGAGTTGCTGACCTTCGCCTCCAAAGCCAGTTCCAAGGACGACAAATATCCGACGCCGCTCTTGCGAGAGAAGCTACTCAGCAACTGTTCCTTGGCGTATTCCTGGCAACGGTACCGGGTGGCCCTCAAAAATAGGATGGTCATGGATGGTCCATCTTTATGAATTCTATGTCTGTTACGTATAATATCATGATCTAAATATTCAATAAATACTATACTATGATATACTACAGTATGTGTCTATAATAGTACGTACATTATGTCTATTATATTAATAATATAATACATACATATAGCAATGTATACTTGTCCTAAACATCTTTTCTGATGTGTGACCCAAAGAATGACCCAAAGAAATTTGACCCCGTGCCCTCCTTCCGGGAGTTCTCTTCCTTTGGCACTGCAAGATCCTGCAAGATGGCTCGATAAGCCCGACCCTTATTTCTCATGTAATAGAGCACCAAAGCAGTCACGACAACGCACATCAGCAGGACCACCACCAGGCAGACGATCAACATCACGAGGCTTCCTGATCCTGTCTGATAGGCCGCAAAATTCGCGTCCTTCACAAAAGTGATGTAGTCCTGGGCACCTTTCCTGGTTGAGCCACCCGGGAAACAACAATCATGAGAATCAATGAGAATCATGAATCAACTGGAAGCATACTTCCAGGATATTCTGGGATTGCCGGATGAAAAATAGAAAACTTTTGAAGCCACAATCGGCCAATCGGCATCTGTTTGAAACCTTCGGGATGGCACTTGCTTTGGAGCCAGCAGTGATCATCCGCAGGATCCGCAGAGCTCCTTCGATCTTTGGTCAGGAGAACTGCACATTGACAATCGCTGCTCTGATAACAAAGGTCCACACAGTCTTGCTCAGTCATCCCTTTCTTGTCTGCCGTCACGTCTTGGCCGTCTCTGTTGGCATTGGTCCCAGGGAAGACGGAGAAGGGCCACAAATGCGGGGGCAGCTTGATGTACAGCTCAAGGGTGCCTCCACCCTCATAATCAGGATGGAAATATAAACAATCCGCCTGCATTTTGCAGCTGCCATGAAGTGGGTCGAACAGCGCACAATCGCAAGTCATTTCCTTGTCGCATGCATCTTGGCAAGATGCTGCGTTGCCTGTCAAGCTATCCCCAAATGAAGTGCCAGGCGCAGCCGAAACACCCTGAATCTCCATAAACTTCCCGCCATGCACCAAGGGCAACAGGCTGAGCAGCAACAGCATCACTTTGGAAGCCGTCAACCCAGTCAGCAAAAATGGGGCGTATTTGGGATCTACAACTGTTTGATGTTGCCACAATTTCAGGGAGCAAAAGTGGCTACCAACAAGGCTCACCTTTCGTTCATTCATGGACTTGTCGTCTGCCTGAAAGCTGAAAGCAATGCAACGTTTAGGGTAGTTCAAAGCCGACAAAAACGAGGCGAGTGCAGCGCCTGTGGCTTGCAAAGGCTGGCATTGTGGGCATTGAATTGGTCCTTACCTCAGAACAAAAAAAAACATGGAAATGTAATGGGGCGCAAGTCCATGCAAACACACTCACATATGATCTGCTCAGAGAATTGCGTTTTGTATGCCAAAGCTGCCATACAATGGTTTTGCTCAACATCACATCGCGCATCTTTCCCAATATCATCTTCGGGAACTTCCTTTTTCCACGTGTTTGCAGGGAGTGTGTCGCCTCTTCAAACCCTCTACTGCAATCGATGCCAGAATGCTTCGGTTCTGAAACGGCATTGGCGCCTCTACACTGTCGTGGCACACTGTCAGGATGTGCCGGACGCCAAAGGGAACTTGTTAAATGGGAATGGGTCAATGCCTGTGAACCATCGAAATGATCCGTTTGCCAGCTGGACGACAAGGACCGAAACACCAAGGTTTTTGACCCATTCCACAGCATCAAAGCTCAGGATGGAAGAACAGGAAACTGTTCTGTTCCGTTCTGAGTTTCACACAGAAAATGCCTACTGAGATATCGCAACATATCGCAACTAACATCTCTCCGGGGACCTTGAGAGTGCAGGCTCTTGGAGAGACTCTGTGCCATCAAGTCTTTAAATTCATAGCAGGTTCACCTGCCCTCATCTCACGATGCTCCAAATTGGTCACCATGTCAAATGAACAGATGCTACTTTTCACCGAAGGAGTTGGAGGGTCCCTACCCTGAAGCCCTTGAAGCAGCGTGGGATTTTTGGTCGTCACCTTGCCCTCGCGACATTGAAAGGACTTGCGCAATGTCGCTGTCAAAACGCCATCGGCCAAAACGAAGTTCTGCAGTGCGGGTTTCAGCTTCCCCACGGTCAACATGTATGGAAAATCTGCGAGATATTATGGAAATCATGATCCTTTGGAACACAACACAGCGGTTAAAAAATAAAACGCTCCAACATTGTCCCACCATTCAGGTCCTCCTCATCAAAATCATCGAAACGCCCGGAACCGTTCTCAAACTCGAAGGCGCGCTCCCAGGGACCGTGGTGCTGTATGATGGGCTCCACTGCCTGCACTGTGGTCTCCTCAATGGGTTTCTGCTTGCGGATGCTGATTTTCACGCCACTTTGGAAAGCCTGGAACAGCCAGGCGATCGCCGAGTTTGCTGTTGAATGTTCTTGACATTGACAACATGTTTCTATCATGATCTATCAGGTCCTTATCCAATGACTCGTTGACATGTCGAGTATAAGCTCCAAAGTCTTAGCTCTAGCACCGGCACGCCTTCAAGATCTTCAAGTACGGGTGGCGTATGGTGGCGTCATCACAAATTACGTTGAACCAACATTCCCCGGTTGAGGCTATCTACATTTCAATGTTTCGCAGGTGTTCCCAAGGTGCTCGCCTTCCACTTGATGTCCTCCTGCTGTACTCCAGGACATTCGATGCGAATCACGCGTTCAATGCCATCCTGTAGGGTCCGGTCATAGACATTGACGTTGGGCTCGAAGGTCACGTCATGGGTGATGATTTCGCCCAAGGGATTGATCACACCCTGAGTCTTCATGCTCACCTCGAGGGGATCATGGTCAGAAAGCATCCCAATGAATGTTGACCATGTCTCTCATGGATGGTGAACATGTATGGAAATGTCAACAAATGCAGTTCCATGTCTCAAAGAATACTAAACTCTGTGAAACTTGTTCTTCCAAACCACACAAACTGTCTGCCCAACCTTAGCATCTGAAATGGCCTTCAGTCGCATGCAACCCACCTTTCCATAATCCTGCAGGCAGAATTCACTGCAAAGGAAAACCTCATCTCGAACTGGTCATTATTCGATCATTCTTAACACAACAACATTTGAAGGAAAAAGTCACCAGGCACAAGGCAAGTCCCTACCTTCAGTCCCTGGTCCAAAATGTCCATACTTTGGGGCTGGAAAGTTACTACACCCTTGCAAGCACGTGTCTATGTCAACAAATTTGTATTTGTCTGGCATTCCACAGTTGTATTGTACACCCCCAAATCATCCATCTAGATAGATTTTCCATCATAAACCATCCATTTAATCCGTGCATCTTACACTTGACCCCAAGCAGAACCAAGGTGTTGCTCCTTGCACACCATCTCGAATGTGGAGAGGCCGCTCAAACCTTAGACACTCGTGGACACATTCGTCGTGATCAACTGGGGAGTCCTTAAACCACGGGGGATCCCCAGTCGTCACCATGGGTTAACCTATGCTAAATCATGGTCTGATGACAACTGGATGATTTGGGGGTACCCATGGATTGGAAACCTCGGAGTGAAATTATGATCAACTTACCACTTCCAGAAATGTCCGGAATCCTTCTACATACCATGTTCTGCCAGAATTTGTCTGAGATATGGACCGCTTTCTTTCTTGTCCACCACCTGTCACTCGCAGAGTGAACCATGTTTAATCATGTTTAATCATCATTCAGAATCGATCATTCCAACCAGTCAACTTAGGCAAGATATCGGATGTTTTAGCGATTCCGTGCTGCAATCTAAACGAATTATGTCCTGCCTTGCAGGTCTCGTAGAGGACACTCAAGGTCTTTTCGGAAGAAGGCATCTGCTCCGGCGCACGCTCGACATAGGCGAAGGTGGGGATGAGCCGCTCAAGCTCCTTGCGAAGAGAGTCGGTCAAACTCATGCTGCGGCCCAGCATATGGCGAAATCTCAACTGGTTCTTTAGATGCTCAATGTTCTTCTTGTTGTACTTGTCACCTGCGCTGGGCACGCAGTGAATCACTCAATGGTTCTATTCTAGGATGTTTTTGGCACCTCGAGACCGAAACTCGAGGGATTCAGTGATTCTGCAAGTAACGCATTTACAGTGGTGCGGTCTTCATGTCTTGAGCGGTACGCTGCGCTTCATTGTACTAGTGCAGATGCAGTTTAAAATGTTGAATCATATAGATTCTATAGATCACCTGATGCTGTGAGACTCACAGCCTTGCCTGCAAGGGTCATTTCCTTGCAAAGGGCGACATGATTAACAGGTGGAACTCCCTCTTGCATCACCGCCACATATGTTAACTCGTCAAGTGGTGAGCTGCCACCCTTGTAGCACTTCTTGATCTGCTGGTCAAACAGATCTTTGGCTTCCTCCGCTTCGTAGGTGTCCCTCAAATTGTGAACCACAATGAGTTCCGTGTGCCGGAGCATTTGCTCATACTTCCTGTGCAGCATGCTCACATACTCTTGTTCAAACCAGGTAAAGTCGTTCACCACAAAGATCATGTAGTCTGCAATGCGGCTGATCATCTCAAACATGAAGCTTTCGGTGGCACGGGCATCCTGAATGCTTTGAACAGCACCATCACACTGCGAAACTGGGCGTTGGACACCAGCTGAGTCAAGCACCAGCATCTCTAAGTCTTCAATCCACAGAAAGCTGATGCCTGTAGTAGGACATTTCTTGCCACTCGGAAGGTTCTTGCCAAAGAGTTTGTTGATCAAGAAGGTCTTCCCCTTGTCAAATAGACCCACCACCGCCACGATGCGATAGCGGGACTCTCTGGTGAAATCAAACTTGGACTCCGGTGCTTGGAGAAACTCAATTTCCCCAGTGGTCAGGAAATTGGAAAGCGACTCAAATGCAAAGACCGCATCATAGGCGGTCTCCTTGGCACAACTGCGCTGGCGCCGGTGGCGCAAGAGGGGAACTTTGGCACGCCAGGTGCGTTGGATGCGACGTGCCAGCATCTTCCGCCACAGGGTCTTCAAACGAGCTTCCTCGCACATGGGATCACAATGTGTTTCCAAACAGAACCCAAACTAGTTGCTGTTCGGTTACCATGGCGACTTACTACATGACTACATGATCTACATGGTTTATAAAGGACAGGGGAGACTAGAGAGGTGCTGATTTGGGCCTGGCTGAAATGATTGGTTTACTTCGTCCCCTTGTATCTTTACGCTTAAAGTTTGCTTTGAAGTCATTGAAGCCACCAAAAACATATCAGGCAGCGAAGTGCTGCATTGAAGCAATCAAATATGCTTGCCTTACAGAACTCAACCCAACCAACTCCTTGTATTCCCTGCTCTTCCTCTCTTCCAGTCTCGCTGCCTTTCGACGCCAGGCACCTTGCAACTTCCGAGTAGCAATAGCCTGTTGTTCCTTCATCCTTCCATGAAGCTCCCAAGGCAGTACATGCACCTGTTTCACCTGGTCAGCAAACAACAAAAGGTCGCAGCGACGCGCAGAAACAGCAGAAACCAATACATTTGGCAGTTTCAAGAGAGATGAATGAAAATGAAAATAAAGGACAAGACCAACAGTTTGTATCCATCATGGACAGTTGTTGGTTCCAAAAGTTGTTGAACAGGCTTCTTTGCGCATAGCTTATATCGTAAATCATCTGTAGCTTGGAAGCACCAGTGTGCATGGCCAACAGAGACTGCGCAGAACTTGTCCCATCCAAGATGCTCGTACAACGCCAAAATAGTTCTGGCCATATTGATTGGTCGGTTGCAAAAAATAGAAAGTAACTTGGCGCCAAACACTATATTATATATATATATATTTTTCTAGATTATCTGAGTAATTTACAGTCCATCTTTTCGGGAGTTGCTATCATCAAGTTCGAAGGCCGCCTTTTGGGTCTGTCTATAGCGCCGCAGCATGGCCATCAAGGCGCCAATGACAAAGGTAGCCATCAAGACCTGGCAGGTTGCCATGGCTGGTTGTTTTGGAATCCTGGGTGATTGCAGGATGAAAAATGGCCAGGCTTCCATATTGCATGGTGCAATCAAGACTCCTGAAATGGGAGGGACCAGATCTTTCACAAAAAAATGCAAACAGGCTCCATGCCATTTCCAACAATTGTATATGGATGATTTTGACTCCCAGCGCATATACTTTGCAGTGTGAAGGCCTGAACGTTCACATTCACACTTTGGCCAATCTTCTCATGATCCACCTGGAAGTTTGCCAGCTCAGCAGTCAGAGCCTCCACAATGGCTGGAAGGTGCATGCAGCTGCTCTCGAGGTGGACAGCAGGCTCTGCACGTGTTCATCAGCGCAAATCCGATGCAAATGTCCAACAGGCTCAGCCAGGCTCACATGTTTGCGTTAGAATATATTAGAACGTGTTAGAATACTTTGTCAAGTTCCGTTTTGAATGATCCAATGAATTGGTGATGGTGTGAAAGGATTTCCACCGCCTCCGTTTTGAGATTCTCGATGTCCTTCTGCAGCTGAATATTCTTGTCATCCTTTCGTCGTGCCTCCATCAAAAATATGGCCTATCTCCCAGCAAAAACAAGTCTGGTTGCGAACACAAGGGGTCCAACCCACATGTTCAATACAAAGAAACCTAGGACAGAATGTATCGAAGCACGCAACAGCATCAAATAATTGAATAGACACGCCAACGCTCACAGCAAAGATCCTTGCTTGGCATCAATTTGGACTCTCTTGGTCAACGAAGCAAGTGCAATGCAAATGCCCATGGGCAACAAATGGCAACAAGCTTGCTTGTTTGGGGTAAGCCTGTCTTGTCAAGTCCAACTTTGATCCCACATGATCCAACAATGGGCAGCAATGAAACAGCAAAGGCCTCCGCTTTGAGATTCTCGATGTCCCTCTGCAGTTGAACGTTCATTGCATCCTTTATTTCTGCCTGAACAAAACACTATGTTGCTTGCACACACCAGTGCCCCGGTGGTCCAAAGCCAACTTTTTCAAGCGCCCTTCCATGATGTGAGGCCAGGGCAAAATGACGCAATATGTTGCCATTGTACATGAAGCATACAGCATACAATAACCTACTTCGAAAGAACAAACCCGACTGCCCATCTCCGACAACAGACTTTCTGGTCAGTGAACCAAATGTAACTTCATGCAAGGTCCCAAATAGGTGTCCGGTCAAAACACTTTATCAAGCCCAAGTTCGACCCAAGTGCAGGCAGGATTTCTGGAGCAAAAGCCTCCGTGTTGAGATTCTCAATGTCCTTCTGCACTTTCAAATGTCTTGGAAATCCGAAGCGTCCGAGCCACGTGTCCTTTGCATCCGATCCACGGACCGATGGAAATCCATGGAAAATTCTGTCGAAACATTGCAGCATTGTATCGAGGCACTAGGCCACCTGGGCCACTACTCGCTAGACATGTTCATTCTTGCAAACAATGCTGCACGTTGTGATCAACGAAGCAAGTGCAATGCAAATGCCCATGGGCAATGGCAAGCTTGTCCAACTTTGATCCAACAATAGGCAGCAATGATTCGAACAGCAAAGGCCTCCGCGTTGAGAGTCTCGACGTCCCTCTGCAGTTGAGCGTTCATTGCATCCATGAGTTCGACCTGCCATCAAGAATATGGACTGTCGACAAAAACAAGTCTCTGTTCGAACACAAGTGAATCAACCCAAATGTTCAAAACCAAGAGGCCCAAGGCAAAGTGAGTAAAGTGTATCGGAAAGTTGCTAGAGTGCACCAAGCATACAATTGCATACGTCAAAAGAACAAACCTTACCAAACGCCAATCACAGCAGAGTCTCTGACTTGACAGCGATTCAGCGTGCTTTTGGTCAGGAAAGCGTAACTTAATGACTTAATGATACTTAAAGTAAGTGCCCGGATAGGCAGTTGGCAGGCCCTGTTTCAGTCCAAAACATCGCAAGTCCAAGTTGAAGATTTCCAATGCGACGGCCTCCGTTTTGAGATTCTCGACGTCCTTCTGCAGTTGAATGTTCATCTCATCCTTCAGTTCTACCTGCCATCAAGACGATCTGCTGTCAACAAGACAATGTCCTTCTTGCAAACCCCACTTCCAACTCCATTCCATGATGCTCCGATTCAAAATGCATCAAAAATCATACAGTAATGGTGCGCTTGATGCCCTACAAGCATTCAGCATGCTTTGGTCAACGAAGCAAATGCAATTCAAATGCACAAGGCGGCAACAAATGACAACAGGCTCAGCTGTTTCGGCCAGGAATGTGTTTATCAAGTCCAAGTCTAAGAGTCTCTAAGAGTACTCGGGGCTGCTGAGGCAAAGGCTTCAGCTTTGAGATTCGCCACCTCCATCTGCAGTTGGATGTTCTTCTCATCATTCTGTTTTGCCTGCAAGCAAGAAGTTGATTCCCGCATTTTCCAGCAGCCATGAAGATGGTTTCTGAGTTCTTAGGTACAGCCTCGTTGCTGAATGAATATGCAACAAACCCAACCTGGCAGCTTTCCAGTTCGAGAGCAGTCTCCTCGAGGTTCCCAATTTGTTGCTGCAATGCTCTGGTCTCGGAGTGTTTGGCCAGCAAGATGACGAGAAGTGCCACGGAAGCAGCGGCCAAAATGTTCACTTTCGTCAGTTTCATGAGTCTGAAGATGTTTGAAGCTGCCCGGGACACCATATTGTTTGAGCACAAGATGGCTGAGCAGCCAGGGTTTTATTGGAAACTCAAATGATATAGATATAGAATTATATATATATGTGTGTGTATGGGGCCCCAACGGGCAATCATTCCCACCGGCGATATGGTTGGGTTGCTTGACAAACCAATGGCAAACCAAGGCTGATGTCCGCGCTGCCAAAGGTTGCTGAGTTGCCAACGAAAGTTTCACCTCATGGGCCATGCAGCCTGAGCAATCAATGCTCCTGCTTGACCTCCATGGGTGGTGCATGATAGCACTACCACTTGAAAATGCCTTTTGTCAATCCCACTATGGAAAACCTGCCTTCGTTGAGAACTCTGAAGCAGATGTGGCCCGCTATGCGAGCAAACCAGGCACATCCAGATAGGACGAGATTCGAAGCCTCAACCTTACTTCACCCCAAGGACATGCAAGAGTGCGAAACAAAAACCAGAAAAAAAACGGCAGAAACAGGGTAAGATTCTGTGCTACCAAGGAACTCAGGATGCATAGCGTCCCAACCGTAGGCCTTGTAAGATGTTCACGTCAAACAGATCAGATTCTAGGGCATGGCTGATTTCTCAGCTTGATTTGCAGTGTGCCAAGTGTTTCCCCGTCAACGAAACCACGCAATGATTATAATATATTATTTTGATTGAATGATGTTGTATCCCACCCTTCAAACCCTAAAGACTTGTCGCCACAGCACCGACCTCACCCCTTAACTCCTTTGTTCCAAATGCACCACTCCTTTGAACTAAATGTCTGCCTGTTTGCAGTGCATGATTTCTACACTCGGAAGGCAACACAAACCTATTCTGCACTGGTTTGACGTTGCTGGCATACTGTTCCGTGAACAGGCAGAAGGACCCAATCAAATACAATCAAATCATCTGACTAATGCTCAGAATGGAAGAAAGGGAACTTTGTGTTCCATTCAGCTGAGCTTCACTGTGCAAGGTTCTAGCAAGCCTATACAAACTGTGACGAAGTCCCCTCCTTGAACCTTTTAAGTGCAGGCTCTTGGAGAGACTCTCATCCATTGCCTCACTTCTTTAAATTCACAGGGTCAGCCGGCAAAGTCGTAGCCGGCGGAGGTGCTGCTTTTCACTGAAGGAGTGGTTGGCTCATTCCTGCCACCTCTGGAATCGACATCCAGGTGATCTTTAAAGGCCCAACCAAACAAATAGCTGGTTGGTGGTTTTGATCCTCCCACAACTCTTATATACAATTGGAATCATCGTCCCCAAAAAGGGAAAATATAATATCATATGCATAATATGCTGCATATATAGTATATATTATTATGTTATATAAGTTATATACAAGCATTATAGTGTAAAACCGCCAGCCAGATAAGATGTTTAACAAGCCCTGCACCTTGAAGCAAGGTGGGATTTCTGCCAACTTTGCCTCTGCGACATTGAAAGGACTTCCGCAGGTTGACAGTCAACACGCCATCGGCCAGAATGAAATCCTCCCGCTGTGTCACGGCCAATCAGCAAGACTGGGGGAAGGTTGGCTCTGAAATAGACGACTTGCAATATGACCAAAACCATTCGGGATGATGAGCACTCAAAAAATAGAGTAATTTCATGAGCTCATCATGAGCTCTTGCCATCTCTTACCAATAGATTCAATGGATGTTCATCCTCAACGGTCAACCATTCACAGGTTTCATCAGAATGTTAAATAGATGTCATCCTCCTATCCCTCGGGCCATCTTGAACTTCACCCACCCATTACCAAACCCTGAATTATATGCGTCAAGTGGGATCATCCTACAGTAATTCGGGGGTGAACTTTAAAGATCTTTTAAGACTTAAAACCACCAAGAAGTTACGTATATCATTTATCTATCCCCATTTAGTGGTGGTTAAAGTTCTTCACAAACCACCCAGCAAATCGAAGCAAACGATGTCCCAAACCGGTGTCCTCCTCAGAGAAATCAAAGCGCCCAGAGCCGTTCTCAAATTCGAATGCACGCTCCCATGGCCCATGATGCTGCATGATGGGCTCTACCGGATGCACTGCAGTCTCTTCAATGGGTTTCTGCTTGCGGATGCTGATTTTCACGCCATTGGCCAGTTCCTGACACAGGAACTGTCGCAATTGAGTGACAAAATGGCTTCGGTGTTGTCTTTGATGCCATGCTGCATTGCTTCTTACGCTCTGCTGGTGATGACCGGTTCAAGATGGTAAATGCTCAAAAGCAAGGAGCAGCATGCAACTTGCTGACACCCTCACTGCAGGGCTCCAACAAGATCCTAGAAGTACCTGCAATCACCCAAAATAGCCACAATCACTGTTGTTGCCATTTGGTTCTCTGGTCATATCATGTCAAAGTCGAATGTTTGCTGAATTTATCTACTTTCTCTAGCTTTGCGCCCCAGGATGAACATGTTTGGTCTCAGGAATGCCTCGCCTCCCAGTCGATGTCTTCCTGCTGCACTCCCGGACACTCGACGCGGATCACTCGTTCAATGCCATCCTGCAGTCTCCGGTCATAGACATTGACATTGGGTTCGAAGGTCACGTCGTGCGCTATGATTTCGCCCAAAGGGTTGATCACACCCTGAGTCTTCATGCTCACCTGAACGGGTTTGATCTTTTCCTGTATCTCCAAATGATCACTGTTTAAAGGTAGTTGTTTCCTATACCGCTTTACCACATTTGGGTGGGCATGGAGTCTTCGTTGTACAAATGACAACTACCGCAGGTATCTACATGCTCAGAATTCTGCTGCAAAGCGCAAAGCACTGCCTACAACCATTGGGAAAATGCATGAAAATATATGAAAATAGATAGATCCAAAATGATCCCAAAAAAAGTGCGTTCATGAAAAAAGTGAAGAGCATGACAGGAATGTGAAAATCGCAGAGATCCGCCTTGGCATCAGGGTGAATAGCCTTGAGTCGCATGGAGCCAACCTTTCCATAGTCCTGGATGCAGAGATGCCGCAACAAAAGAGTGGTAAACCTAGGAGATTTGCGGTAAATGAACAAATTGCGTTTCTGGAGTCTTGAAACTTGGGTGGTTTCTATTATTTTATTTCATATACTAATACTATGATGCTGGACAGCCAATCCAATCCATGGCAGTTCATGTCAATTGAACCGTTGCAAAATCAGCAAATTAACTTGCTTCAAGCTGCTAGAGATGCTGAGGTAGTTTAGAGCCCCACAAAGCCCACGGAAAAGGAGCCATCAATGTCACTTCACTTTTCATGTGAGTGCTTTACTTTTCCTTCATCTTTTCTGGTAGGGCCGTATTCCATAGACTGTACAGGTTTTTCACACACCGGAAAAAAATCTGGCGGTCACTCAACTGCACACCTTGGATGTCTTCTTCTCAGAGCGAGAGGTGTTGCTGAAACCTCAGGCATTGCAAGCGTGTCCAATCTCAACATCAAAATGGTCATTGCAAGCAACCATCCATGTAATTGGCGCTTGACATCCCACTGTAAAATAACACGATAGGAACGGACATGCGATATCATGCGAATCAAAAATCACTCAGTCAGATCGCATTTGCAAACCTCAGCTTCGATGCTCCCGAAGCCTGAGGCCCTTGCCGGCTTCTTTGTCTGCCGCCTTCAGTCAGTTCAATAGAATCAACATGTTCACACAATTTCACACATCAGTCAACCATCTGTAGATTCTCCCAAAATCAGCACTTCGAATCCACTGGCAAAAATACCACAACATTGAACATGAATCATCATTAATATAAAGTTGCCAATCCAATCCCCCTAATATTAAACACCCCCTACAAACCATGTTTAGTATGGAATTTCCACATAATTGGCATTATTCAGGAGGTGTTTTACATTAGAGGGATGGGATTAGTTGCTATATTTGGCACGATCTTCACCTGTTTCAGCCCCCACCTCTTTGCAGGTCTCATAAAGAACAGTCAGAGTCTTCTCGGAGGAAGGCATCTTCTCAGGCGCCAGCTCGACGTAGGCGAAGGTTGGGATCAACCGCTCCAGCTCTTTGCGCAGCGAATCCGTCAAGCTGATGCTGCGGCCCAACATGTGGCGAAATCGCAGTTGGCTTTTCAGGTGCAATGCGTTCTTCTTGTTGTACTTCTCACCTGCGCGTGGTACAGATTCCAAACAGGTTGAGTTTCGAGTCTTGAACCATGTCTCGGGCCCTTGTGGGACAAGCATTCTTTGCCATGTTTTGGCTGTCCAAAGACTGTTTATTGATTCAATGATATACAAACCAACCAACCCATAAAGTTCCACGCAATCATGAATCAACTGTCCATGCCTGCAAGGGTCATTTCCTTGCAAAGGGCAACATGATGTACAACTGGAACGCCTTCCTTTGGCTCGGCCACATAAGTCAACTCATCCAGCGGGGAGAAGCTTCCTTTGTAGCACTTCTTGATCTGCTGGTGAAAAAGATGCTCAGCCTCGGCTGGTTCTGAAGTCATTCGCAGATTATGAACGACAATGAGTTCCTTGTGCTGGTGGCTCTGCACATACTTCCTGTGCAACATGCTCACATACTCCTGCTCGAACCAGGTGAAATCATTGACCACAAAAATCATGTAGTCCGCGATGCGGCTGATCATCTCAAACATCAAACTCTCAGTGGAGCGTGCATCCTGAATGCTTTGAACGGCACCCTCGCAATGCGACACAGGGCGTTGAACACCCGCGGAGTCCAGCACCAGCATCTCCAAGTCTTCGATCCACAGAAAGCTGATGCCTCTGGTAGAGCACAGCTTGCCACTCGGCAGGTTTTTGCCAAAGAGCTTGTTGGTCAACCAGGTCTTCCCCTTGTCAAATAGACCCACCACTGCCACAATGCGATAACGAGACTCTTTGGTAAAATCAAACTTGGACTCCGCAGCCTGCAGGAATTCGATCTCTCCGGTGGTCAAGAAATCCGACAGCGACTCGAAGGCGAGCACGGCGTCGTAGAGCATCTCAGTAGCGGCAGTGCGTCTGGGACGCAGGTGCCAGAAAGGCACTTCAGCGCGCCAGGCGCGTTGGATGCGCTGCACAGCCAGCTTTCGGCGAAAGCTTTTGGCACGTGCCTCCTCGCACGGTTGGCACAGCACACCTTCGGTAGTTTCCACAACCTTTTTGGGCCCCAAGAATCCGTGCCTTACATGTGACCAGCTGGCGGAGTCAGCAGACAGTTTGGACAGAAACCACAAACATGGGAGGTTCTATGTTGTAAAAACATGTTACCAGGGAACGTCAAGCACCATGCGATTCCTGCGAACGACAAAATGACAAACAACATGCAAGGTACATGCACGGGATGGAACCAACCAGGACCAAGACACCCAAAAACAAGGAAAACAAGAGAAACGAAAGACAGCACTGGGAACTCGATCCTGTCAACAGAATTCAACAGATACTAACAAATCACTCGAAACAAAGAAAAACGAAACACCGCACAAACAAATGAGACTGCTGGAAGGAAGAAAGGCAGGAACGGGACAAGAGGGGAGGATGATGGAGGATGGAGCTCTGATGCATGTATGGAGAGGCAACATGAGGCGACCACCTAAAGAATAATGTCCAATGCGATATCACGGCAAGCACATCTGGTTTGGAAAACTGTTTTCGGTTCCCAGTGGTTCCCAGATATCATCAGAAAAGTGCAACGGAGAGAGACGCTGCTTGGTGAACTAGGGGTTAAGACAAGAAAAACAACAAGAAAAGAGTCAAGGAGTATGGACACAGAAAAAGGAAAGAAGAAAGAAACCACAGAGACAAGGAGAAGGGAGGGTTGGGGGGTGGAGGGCGAAGTTGGTGTGATATGTGTGATGAATTAGGGTCGGCCCCAGATTTACAGCTGCGTGGTCCCATTCAAACTCGACACAGGTCACATCCGCTCCTTGTCTTTCCTCGCCTTCTTCTCTTCCAGCCTCGCTGCTGTCTGACGCCAGGCCATCTGCAACCTCCTGGCAGCTTGCTGAAAGTCCTTCACGCCACCATCACGGAGCTCCCAGCAAGGCACCTGGCTACAGGATGCTACAGGGGTGTATGTGGAGCGCCTCAACTAAGATGCTGATGTCTCAGATGTTCATGGTGAAATTTGAATTTATCTCGTCACATGACGTTCTGTTCGTGCAAGATCCATGGTTTCAGCAATCTTGGCCTGCCTTTGCTTCCAAACTCCAGATGCGCTCTTGCAAGGTTCTCATCTCTTCTTTTTTTTCTGCCACCTTGCAGGAAATGATTTCTTGAAAATGAAACGGTTGAAAGCTCACAAGTCTGCACCATCCAATGTTTTCCCCAAGCATTTCCCCGCCTTCTTCTTCAGTTGTTCCATCTGCCCCAGCATATGTTTCCGGTGGCTCCACCCTGCAGCCCTCACCAACGCTGCAAAGAACATGGCCTTGAAATTCAAAGATCCACGCACTTCATCGCCAGTGTCTGTCATGGCGTCGCGGTCTATAGGCGTGAAATCTCAACTGGTCGAACCAAAACACTTGAGGTTTTCAGCAATCTTGCAGGTTGTCATTCACAATCCAACAGGCCAATGGCAACAATACTCAGCAAATCTCACGACGCTGTGCCATTTTAAACAAACGAGCTGGCAGATGTTGGCAGTTTGCTGCACCTGCAGTAGAAGCAGCTGCTGCGGGTCGAAGAAGCGCCTACGACATACCATAATATGATGAAACCTATTGATGGATCTGGTGAAGCCCGAACAAATGACTAAAACATACTAAAACTATATAGCGTATGACATAGTATGTAAGTAGAAGTATCATATAATATAAGTATAAGTGTATACACTTGCACTGCATCATGTTTTTCATCTACTTTGGGATCACCACAATTGAGAACCGACAAGTCCTATGCGAACAGGATGCGAATGGCTTGGATTTGCCAAGCTCATCATCCAATCATCCTTTCGTGATGGTTTTAATTCTGTAGTGTTACTCACTGATGAAAGGCAACTGGCCAAACCCTGCACCCCCCTTGAATCTTGTTTTTGGCGCATATCCACCCAATGGTTTTTTCGGTTTTTCTTTCTGTGGCAGAAGAGCTTGCACAGTTTGCATGTCGGGTGAGTTCATCACAGGTTGCAGATCAACATCCTCCAGGGTCTCTTGCATCCAGCTGACCTTTTCGGATGGTGGGAGAGCCTCCAAAGACATCTTCAGCGCACGGGCCGCAGCATCTGGTCGCCCAGCCAAACCAGCCACACAGGCTAAGTTGTACCAGGCAATGGCCTTGTCCTCTCGCTTCTTTCCCGCAGCCTGCAGGGTTCTTTCAAGTGGTGGAACTTTGCGCTTTTGCGTTCCTTGTCTAAAAGAAACATGAATCTTAGTGAATCAATTTTGAAGGGATATTAAAGAAGGAACCTCACGACTTTGCCAATTAAAAATCAAAAATCTGTTTCATCTTTTCTGCATCCAGGAAACCTCCACTTTCCGATGTTCTCTTGTTTTGTCTTGCTCTAAATCCCTAGTAGTTCCAACATGTTCGCGACAGCTGGACATGCAGGAGGATACAGGTCCTCAGAAAATGGTTGTCAATTTGTGGACCTCCGAAATTTCAAATGATCGGCCTCAAGCGTCAATGAGCGTAGAGGAGCTGCTGCTGGTCGCGTCCACTCCGAGTGAAAGTCGCATTTCTTGCAGCATTGTGCCCGAGCCTCAGCTGGAGATCCCTGACCAGAGGCGAGTCGCAGTGACGCAAACGGGTCGAAAGATGTCGAAAGCAACCCACATGGTCTTTCAGTCTTCTCTAATGGAAGGTGCCAAAATTCGGGCCAACCCAGAAATCCCATCCGAGTCCCATCAGATTGGAACATCACAGGCACATCGGCTTTTTCCATCTGGGCGTCGATCAGAGAGTTTTTGACCAAGCTCCGAGGCGAGGCCAGGTGCTGCTTCTGCAGCGTGGAAACATGATGAAATCTTAGCGAGGCCCACAGGATGATGTGGGATGGTCCCAGAAAACTCTGATATTTCCGAAATATGTCCTATCCAACCCATGTATTTTGTACAAGAATCACGATGGGGTACAACCATACTACGTTACGTAAATATATGGCATATGTGCAAGGTGTGATCTGTGTGTGTGACTGATCCGTATGAAGTATGGCTGAATGACTGATACAGCGGCTATTGCTGAGACTTTCATCATGCTGGCCGTACCTGTCGCTACAAGTATGGCTCTTACTATTAATTATTAGTACTGGTACAAACCTTGCCAGATTGTTAACCTAGCAGTTTGTTTAAAGTTTAAATGTGCTCTCAGAAAAAGTGCTTGCATTAAAGAGTTTCGGGCAACACATGCCACGAAAATTTGTCGAAAACCGCCTTTGTGAAACCATTGCCAACACCGTGTTGCTCATGTCGCTCAGGCCAAGGATGGAGGCAGAGCAGCGCCAGACTTCAGCAGGGTGTCCTGGGTTGGGCATCGACCCAAGAACTCCACCTCACCGCTCTCCAAGTCGTAAACGCCACCCTGGATCTCCACTTCACCCGCTGCCACCTCCACAGCAGAAAGTGATGGTACTCTGTTGCAATGACTTAGGGATGAACAGATTTGGCGTCAACTTCATTGGATAAGGGTTATCAGATGTTATCGGGATAGATACCATTTTGTTGAGTAGATGCAAGTGATAGATGAGCTAGGCTCTGCAATTGACGAGTGATGTTGAGTAGATTGGACGGGTATTGTGTGAATGTGTGTGTGTGTGAATATGTAATGTATGACAACCAACGCCCCAACGCCATGAACACCCACATCACCACGGATCTGCCTTCTCCCTGATGAGAGGGCTGTACTGCAACAGAAACTCGATGGAATGGAAGACATTCCTTGGCACGTCGGGGCATGGGACTCCCAGAGTGGTGCACGCCAGTAGACTGACTTGTGAAGTGTCCATAGACCCTCAAACCAGAAAATCATGGAACAAACTGTAGGGTGTGGGCGGGAGGCAAGAAGACACGTGTGTTATTTGACGGAGTCGTCGCTCCAACACGTTTGACTTCAGCGCAGGAACAGGTGATGCTGCTTGTGAATTCCCCCCCTGCACTTCTCCCTGCACTGACTCTTTGCCCAGAGTGATTTCTGATGATTCTTTGGGGGTTCCATTATGTGGCAGTGTGTCAAAACCAATAGTACCCCTGTAGTTCACATCAAAATAGCTGGGTTAGAATGGATGTGAATAACCCCCTAAAAAAATTGTATTTTCATAGGTATTGATCCATAGCTATGTTACAATGTTTCAATCAAGCAGCAGTTTGATGGTGTGGTTCACAATCTGCTCCTCGGTGGCATTGGGTCCCAACTCATCAGCCGCCTTCGAAGCCACCACACTGAGACCCTGCAGCAAGGCATCCAAGGCCTTGGTGACCTGGCGCTCTAGGGAGTATGGATACATACATGGATACTACCTCATACTACTATATTATAATTTATAATCATTATATATACATTTATATTTATATTTATATAATTATACAATTTATATAATACTAATTATAATAAGTTGTAATACCATTATAATAATACTATATCATACTATATCCATCAATTCACTTTCCTGATTTGCACATCACCGGCCATGGTTGTGTGTTTGAACAGTGATCATGATAATAACTGGGACGCCCAAAAAAAGTGTTTTCCTGTGTTTTCCCTCATGAAATTGATGATTTGGGTGGAGAATTTGTGGACCCCTCTCCCTCTTGGCGTGTCCGCACCTTGGGCTTGTTGCCAGCCTTCAACTGCAAGTGTGTGGCCGTGGCGCCCTTGATCGCTCCGCAAGCTGTGTGCCCCAAGACCATGACCATCCTGTCAGCGTCAGTGCACCCAGTGACACTAGTCCCAATGACATCTACAGCACATCTATAGGTAGTTGGTGTAAAAGAAGACACATCTTATCACATCTTGTTGCTTTTCTCAATTGCAAGCTTGTAAGTCCTTCAATTCGGGTTGGAAGTGATTATGTCTCACCATCTATTACCATCTATGCCAAACCTATGCCCACGAAGATGTGCCAAGGATCTTGGTGCCAAGTGCCCCAATGCAGAACTCCAAGCTGCCCACGACGCTGCCCTCAGCGTGGGTGCAGGTGTTGCCCGCATTGCGCAGGACGAAGATGTCGCCAGGCATGGCATCAAACACCGTCTCCAGCGGAGCTCGGGAGTCGGCGCAGCCAACAATGGCGGCCAACGGTGCTTGTCCTTCCTTCACCAATGCCTTCCTCATGCCATTGGTGACGTTGCCAGCCAAGGTCTCACCAGTGACAAAGCGTTTGTTGCCATCCTTCAAGATCTGCAGGGCTTCTACGGACGGCATGGGACCATCGGTGGTGGTGCGCACCGGCAGTCCCTTGACCGAAGGTGGCAACGTGAAGTCCGACGCCGGCACCTCGGCCTGAGTTGGGGCATGACCCAAGAACTCCACACGGCCAGTTTCAAGGTGGTAGATGCCGCCCTGGATCTCCAAGTTTCCTCAGCAACGTGTTAAAAAATACTCCTGGGCCAAGCAAAGAAGAAAATGTTTTGGACTTTGAAGAAAATATCATAACCTTTCTGCTCAAAATCAAAAGAAAAAGCAAGAATCTGAAGCAATGTCAAGTTACCACTCTTCACTAGCGCCCTGAGAGGCTCGCTGTAGGTCAACAAGAACTCAATGGAACGGAAGACGTTCACCCGCACTGTGTGGCTGATGAGCTTGCTTTCTTCCACGCCAGGGCCAAGCTCCTGGTTGGCCTCGATTGATCTGTCAAATCGCATGATATTGTTAAAACATTGTTTGGATCGTTGCATTTTGGGTGGCTGTAGCTGAGCTGGAACCTGTGCCTCTAAATCCAGCTTTCAAAGGTTCCTCATGTTTAACCAGTGGCGGTTTTGGTGCCCTGCATGTCTTTTCGGGATTGCCTTCTATTTGAAGTCTGTGTCTTTCTTTTTGATTCTTTGTCATTTCCTTTCATTGCCCCTGTTTCATTTCATGCCCTTTTGGTTGCACCCATCCCCCGATGAATAACAATATCCCTGCCTGCTCTGCCACATCTGACAAACCAATCAAGAGTCCCTCCAGTGCGCTGCCTGCACTCTTGGAGCCCTTGCCTTCCTTGTTGGCCAAGTAGGTCTTGGTGGCTCCTGCAATGGCACCGCACTGCGTGTGCCCCATCACCATGATCAGCTTGGAGCCCAGCTTTCCGGCACAGAATTCCAAGCTGCCAACCATGCTGCCTTCTGCGTGCGTACAGGTGTTGCCTGCATTCCTCAACACGAACAGGTCGCCTGGCATAGCATCGAAGACAGTGTCAACTGGCACTCGAGAATCTGCACAGCCGAGGATGGCCGTGTGTGGCGCCTGCCCATGGCTGACCAGAGCTTCACGCATCTTCAAAGTAGCATGCTTGGCCAAAGGAGCCCCCACGGCAAAGCGCTCGTTGCCGGCCTTCAACATCTTCAAGGCATCCTCAGCAGAGACTGGAGCATCGGCTGTGGTACGCACTCCGTACGTGCCTCGTGCCGCAGGACCATAGCCCAAAGTGCGGCCACCCTCGCGAGTCATGGATGGAGGAAGTGTCAAGGCGTCGATGGATTTCAGGATCTCTTCCTGCTTTGGTGACCGGCCCATGAACTCCACTTTGCCAGTGTCCAAGTGGTAAAGTCCACCTTGGATCTCAACCTGCCCACTGCGAACCTTCTCACGGATAGGGGCACTGTGCTTCAGCAAAAAATCGACAGTGTGGAAGACGTTCACGCGGACAGCATGGGCAGCAACTGCCTCAACGCTGTCTTGCAAAGCCTTGTCTGCAACTGGAGCCAAATCGAACAAGAGGCCTTCAAGTGCTGAAGTGACAGGGGCCTCTTGCCTCTTGGCCGCAATGTAGGCATTTGTGGCACCATAGACAGCACCGCACTTGGTGTGGCCCAAGACCATGATCAGGCGAGATCCCAACTTGCCAGTACAGAATTCCAAGCTACCAACCATGCTGCCTTCTGCGTGTGTACAGGTGTTGCCGGCATTGCGCAGCACAAAGATGTCCCCGGGCAAGGTGTCAAAGAGTGTCTCCAAGGGACATCGGGAATCAGCACATCCAATGATGGCAGTGTGGGGCGCTTGTCCTTCCCTGTCCAACTCCTTTCTCATGATGGAATCCACCTTGGTTGACTGTGGCTTTCCATCAACAAAGCGTTGGTTGCCTTCCTTCAAGAACTTCAGGGCCAGCTCTGGAGGCACAGGGGGATCACCGCTGGTTCGCACTCGGCCATCTACACCTTCCAGAGTGAAAAACACTTGCGGGGGATGAAAGGTAGAAGAAACTGCAACTGTGCACTTGCCTCCTTTAAACAAAATATACACTTAGGACTTCAAAGCTAATACCTACCCCACACATTGAAAAAAGCAGCGGCTGCTTGCCTGCGCCATCCCGGGCCAGAGGGTGACCAAAGGGCAGTTCCATCCTTGGTCGTACATCTGTCTGATCTGAAGCAGAACAAATTTCACCGATCACAGAGAATTAGGATCGCTGACCATGACTGGTAAAATCTGGTGCAAAAGTCATCAAAACCCTCAAATTCCCGACCCCAAAAAAGATAGAAAAGCAAAATCCAAAATAGTGTTAAGTTACTTTGCTATCTTTGTGAGTCTTTGTGGAGGTTACATGAGTTACTACATAAAGTCCCCCTGTTTGAACCCAGCATCATGGCAGAGGCTTTCCCCGCGGCATCGATCGGGCGTTGGGAGGACATGGCGTAATCAGAGTTGCTAGTTGTTGCTGAGGCGATTCGAGCCAAAACGCTATCGGAGTTGCGATGGAATCTCAGCTGCTTCATTGGCTTGCTGTGTAAGCTTTCCAGCTGCCCTCAATGACCAGATCAGAATCCATCACTTTGCCGTGCCCTCGATGACCCAAACTTCGTTCGAAAAGCGGAAACTTTGGGTTTCCCAACGACGCCCAAAGGGCAGGAAGTCATTGTTATCGTCGTCGCCCTGAATGTGACTCACGTGACTGAAAGACCCCCTAGCCCTAAGGAAAAGAACAAAATCAATGCCAAATACCTTGGAAAAAAAATGATTCTGCATATTCTTCCGTCTCCTCTCCCTCTCTATCTCTCTGAGGGCACTTTGGTTGACTTACCCGACTTACCCAAAGATGAGACAAAAGAGCCATCGCAACTCCAATTCCTCGTTCAAAGGTCAACCGTTCAACCGTTCAAAGGATCTCAGAGCCATGCCCGTGGAATCTGGAGATGGAAATGAGGAGAGGGAGAGAGGTTCGGTTAGTCCAGAATTGTAGATAAGCATAACTTGCAGCATAACCCATTTTCAGACATACTCAAACAGATTCAAGAATCACACGTGTTTCAGAGACCCAGGGTTTGTCTCGCAACAATTTTGCAGCATTTCAAATGCAAACAATGGGCGGAACAAACCCAGCCCCGCACCAGGAATTAGCATGTTCCATGTACATTTTGCACATGAATGCCTCTTGTAAATTCAAAACTGATAAAGTTTGGGTCGGCAAGATTAGATCTCGCAGGAAGCGATAAACTGAAACGAGTGCCACACATCAAGTGATCAATAACGGAAGCATCAACAACTTGCCCCACCGCCTTAATCAACATTTGGCTGACTGCAGCAGCTGAAGGCCCAATCGACGGCCTTGCAACGTGCAAGACTACAATGTCCCCTTGGCGGCAAACGCGGAGTGTGATTTCAATTGCAACTTGCCACCAATTCAAGTCCCTAATGCGCCTAAGATCATTCTGCATTCACTCTGAATGTTTCAGCATGCAGGAACACGCCTCACAGAAAGTCTCCCAGATGTCCCAAATCTGTTGGCGCTTGTATGCTGCCTGCCATTGGCCACTGGATCAAGGCTGCGCTCACTACCGGGATCTTTGCTGTAAACATGTTTTTGCTGTTGATCTTAGGGGCCCAAAGAACAAACTTTTGGATTTCGGATCTGGTTTTTCCATGTTTTTCCAATCCTCCCTGCACATCTAAGTGACCCTGTTGTTCTTGGCACTTGGGGTTGAAACCCTGGAGCAACCCCGCCTGATTATGGAGCTTGCGGATGTGCATTGGCATGTCCTCGGCCAGGAAGACAGCAACCTGCACCAGAGACAACGCACCAGAAGGCACCGAATTGAGGCGGTGCCGGCACCTTCAAACTGCTTCAACCTGCTTCAACCTGCTTCAAGTTGTTGACATGGCTCAAAGACTCCAACCAAAAAAACATGTCCTTCGCAGCCTTGCGTTCATGCGGCACAAAGTCTGAAGGATAGGGCGGAGGTGCCACCGCAGGTATTGCCCCGAAACGCTAGATGCGATACGGCACACGTATTCCAAGAAAAGGAAATCATCGCATGTTGAAGTCGACAGCACGTTGGTTTCTGGTCAGGTTTAGCACCCAAGTACGTGCGTACTCTGACCAAACATTGGTTCAGGTCATATATGGTCATATGCATGTGTAAGACCTGGAATCACGTTCAAATTTGGACGGAAATGAGGCGCTGATCTGATGGCCTTCTGTGCTGTGAGGCAAAGCTGCTGTCCGTGGTGCATGTCCCCTGTATCATGAAGATGAAACGCACACGCCAAAGCCAGGACTTCTGGCTACAAGTCAAGTGCTGCCTGTGTGTCATCAAGATCCTCCTGTGAAATGCATCTGCATCGACAACATGCCAGTCATGAGATCCTACTGATGTCAGGGTGGTGTACGAACAAGTGCTTGTTTTTTGCAGCTCTTGCCATGATGCATGCTGTAGCCGGGCACTATGATCGTGCTGGAAGTTGTTCAACGCCAGCAATCCAGCAATCCCTTTCTAACCCCAAGACACTAACTGTACAAGAAATAACACCTTCCGGTGATCTACCGCTGCAATGCAAATTCAACCTCAAGCAGTTGGCACTTCCAAGTTGCACATCTTGCACTGCAATGGGCGAAGGTTAAAATGACTCGAAAATACTTCAAATGGATTCCTACATGCACTCTTTAGGCGAAAGTGTTTGTAGCTAGATCCAACATTCTGTGCATCACTAGTTTGGGTATGGATTTTCAATGGACGCGGCTTCACCCATTGCTAAGACCATCGCCAATTCCAGGGCCAGTTCCCAGGAGCTCCTCAAGAGGTTTCCAGAGCGTCCCACTGAAAGCTTTGGGGAACAGTTATGAAGGTGAGTACCAACCTTGATTTTTAAACACAACCGGTGAACAAACCAAACCAAAGTTGTGAATCAAAATCCATCACACTGCGGCTTCTTTTCAGCGCCATGAAGTCTGGGGCGAGTTTCTGGCACCCACCAGGGGCTGCCAGAAAATCGGCAGCGAAAATGGAGCCTCAGTTCCCTTCGAGATTTGTGGCCAGCTGAAAATTCGAAAATTGAATGAGTTCTGCGTGGAAAATTTGGGACTGCAGTGCACATCCTCCGTATTTACAGCCATTCCTACCTACTTCCTTGACTTCAGTCTGTTTAAACACTGTCCAGCGATTCTCGCTGGGTGAAACTGAATTGTAGTCAGAGAGGCGTTCTCGCGATACGCCCCATGGTGGAGACCTGCAAATCCAAAAACCGCAAACCTTTGGAAAATCCCTTGTCATTGAAATGATTGGTTGCGGCAGCCCCGAAAAGTCAGCCACATTTGGGAGTTGGTCAATCTTCGGGACAAACTGATGAGCTCATCTAAAACAGAGTGTGTGGAGCTGCAAGCGTGCAAAACTCTATACAGCAATAGCTCTCGCGATAATATATGTGTCTACTAGGTGTTGATCTACAAGTGCTACTCAATTTTGCGGAAGCCCGATTTCCATACTAGTGCAGACCATTTTGATCCACTTTGGTGTCTTCAGGGTCCAAACTTGGCAACTTGCTCTGTTCTTTTTCTACACCCTCCATTTTTTGCCAATAGAAACAACCAAACACATTGCAGTTGCTGCATCCCCTACCTCATTCCGACAAGGAGGGCGGCATGGTGAAATCTGATCGCTGCACCAGCGCTGCCTTGGGTGAGAGTCAAGGCTGACAATTCATCCTGCTTGAGTATCTCAATAATCTAACATATAAATCATATAAAGCGATAATCCCGATCAACTGGAGTATGATCCACCGTTTAGAACCATCATGATTTGGGCCGTTGCTCAAGTAGTTTGGCTCCTCCTGACTTTGAAATCAATACTAGGATAGATTGACTGATACTTCGGCACTCCAACCCAGCAGAAAGTTATGGTCGCATGGAACTGAAATGAAGCCTACAAAAAAGGCATGCTAGCCGCTAGCCGTGTTAGATAAAGTCAAGATGCATTAGCCTCTACATAAAATCTGGCTGAATGAGTCTGCATGCTTTCCAAAAAATCCAGCTGCAGTCTGATCAGCCATCCAAGTTGCTTGTGCTGGGCTTCTGCCCAGAAATTCCACCCGCCCTGTCTCCAGGTCGTAGATGCCACCCTGGATCTCCACTTCTCCACTTGAGACCTCCAAGTCGCCGAGTGGTTGCTGTTTGAGGCTGGTTTGGGCTGTCAAGAGTGCTGGAATGACTCAAATGACCAATAAAGACCAAGCAGAAAAAATCGGGCTTAACAGCGAACAGATTGCTGCTACATGTTTTCCGCTAAAAGAATGGGCCCAGCAATCAAAAACTGGCACTCTTTCAAACATTTGCTGTCTACATGATAGTTTGGAGATATTCACCTGAGTTTCTTTGCGAACCTACATAATTTTAGATCTATTGAAACACACAGGCTTGTCTCAAAATAGAGTACCCAAAAAATGGTTTATCATCATAGTTTGTTGATGTTTATTGGCCATTTAGGGGTACCCAATTTTCAAACGGTCACCCACATGGCTATAGCTAACATATAGCTATAGAAGGGCATAGACTCATAGAAGGGCATACAGTAGCACGTGAACGTACTGTTACTGTTGTTGGTGGCGATGTGACAGAAAGAAGGAACAAGGAACAAAATGGAATGCAATGAAATTACATAAAACGAAATGAACAAAAGGACTAATGAACGAGGTGAGGGAGTGCATGAGGGAGTGCATGAGTGAGTGCATGAGCAAATGAGCAAATGAGTGACAAAATGAATGGAAAAATCAGTGAGAAAGTGAAAATGCGCACCCTGTCTGTCTATGTCTATGTGTGCCGACAGAATGTGGGTTGATCATGTTGATCTAGAAAACCAAACAGCATGCGGCGCATGCGTCTCCTTGAATCTTGGTGACTGTTCTTTTCGACATCCATCTGCCACTCAGAGACTCGGGCCTTATTCCGAATCATCGGGCTGAACTCCAGCAAGAAGTCAATGGTGTGGAAAACATTCCTGGGCACATGTCCCACTTTTTTCAAGCAGGATCTAAATGGGTTCCCATTTCAAAAAGTGGCTCAAAATGGGTGTGTCTGAAAATAGTGTACCCCTGAACCCAATGGTTAATGATCATTATCCCTATTAAATGGCTATAATTGGGAATATACACTATTTTCAGACAAACCCAAATTTCCTGATTCCAAAACTTCAATGGCGCCCAAGGATCAGCTTCACGGCATGGCTGGCGATCTGCTCCTCGGTGGCGGTGGGTCCCAACTCCTCTGCCGACTTGGAAGCCACCACGCTGAGACCTGCCGGAGGTCACCAGAGGTAACCGGAGTCAGCTTATCCAACAGGAAAGGATGGAAATGTAGCACAGATCATTTGGCAGTGTGTCAAAACCAATAGTACCCCTGTAGTTCACATCAAAATAGCTGGGTTAAAATGGATGTTCATCCCCCTAAAAATGGTATTAATAGGTATTGATCCGTACCCATTTGATGTTTTTTGAAAAATGTATCTATACGGACTATACTACTCTGAGTCCATCAACAAAGATGATCGGGGTGATGATGGTGATGAAGATGAAGACAAAGACGAAGACATAGACCAAGACTATGACCATGACCATGACGGTGATAGGATGCTTGTGTTTTGAATCATGATGTTGATTGTGTTTATGATGATGCCGACATTATTCGCTTATCATTCTTCACCCTTGGACTGCAAAAAGTAGCGCAACCAAAAAGTAAGAAAGGTCGGGAAGCTTTGAGGGTTAAGCGATAACAGACATGGTGCTAGGGAGAAAACATTAGACGACATTGCACGCTGAAGTTTGCAAGTGAGGTGTGACACCTTGTCAAAATCAAGAAAAAAAGCTGATTGATTGGATATGCTCAGGGGGTTCTCCAAAACAATTGTGTTCAGTACCTAACACCACATGCTTGCTGCACTGCTGAATTCTGATGCCTTCCGAAAAAGCGCCACAACTCTCCACAACTACGTTCTGATCACTTGACATGACCCCCAGCCTTGCAGCAGAGCATCAAGGGCCCTGGCTGCCTTTCCAGGGGGCCAAAGCTTCAATGGCATTCTAAGAATATTTGTCAACCGGGGTTTACAGTATTGGTTTCACATGGTTTATATAGCCATCTGGTGGATTGGTGGGTTGGGTACTACTCCCCAGGTTTAACCATCCTATTTTGGTGGATGAAAATATCTGAAACCTGAAACTAAGAGCAAGAGTTCACACATATTCACACCCTTTGTCAAACAGCCCCGCTTGATTCCAATGGATAGCCCCTCTTTAACCAACAACAGGATGATGATTTTGACTGTTCCATGTGGTATGTAAAGTGGAATTATAGGAACTGATTACTTATATAACAACTTAAATATTAGCGGCAACTCCTTTATAGTATAGAAATGTATAGAATACAATAGAATCATATCATGTGTACCATACATCATCGTCCCACAACGGCCAATTGAGGGATCGTGGGACCGGCCTTGGCTTGCCTCACCGTCTTGGACTGCAGGAAGGTCTTGGTGGCTCCCTTGATGGCTCCACAGGCCGTGTGTCCCAGGACCATCACCTAAGGTGCCATGAGGCCGGGCCATGACCATGCCATTCCCACTGGTCTGATTCAGGATGGAAATGGAAAGACTTATATAATAACTTATATAATCTTATATAGTTGAAACATGTTGAAACTTGAAACTGAGTCGAAACTAAGTTGAAACAATGAAGTAGATACCGGTTGATTGGCTCGGACCTCTCAATGTCTCAAAGCCTCTGTATGTATCTATATATTATCTATATTAATATATATTAATATGTTAGAATTTACTCGGACTCAAAATCCATCAATCCATCCTCAGCAAGGCCCTCAGGTCCGGAGGAGATCGGTGCATACAAAACAGATGAAAAAACCAGTTAAACCAGCTTCGGCCTGTTGTGCCACACGAGACAGACCAATGAGCAGACCCTCCAGCGCACAACCCACGTTCTTTGAGGTGGGACCGTCTTTACTGCCCAGATATGTCTTGGTAGCTCCTGCAATGGCACCACATTGCGTGTGTCCCAGCACCAGAATCAGTTTCGATCCCAGCTTTCCGGCACAGAATTCCAAGCTGCCAACCATGCTGCCTTCTGCGTGCGTACAAGTGTTGCCGGCATTCCTCAACACGAACAAGTCGCCTGGCATGGCATCAAAAACCGTGTCAACCGGAACACGGGAATCCGCGCAGCCAAAAACTGCAGTGTGTGGCGCTTGCCCATGGCTCACCAAAGCTTCCCGCATCTTTGAAGTGGCATGTTTTGCCAAAGGTGCACCCACAGCAAAGCGCTCATTGCCATCCTTCAGCATCTTCAAGGCATCCTCCGCTGCAATGGCACTATCTGCTCCAGTGCGGACCCCATGGGTGCCGCGCATGGCTGGGCCGTAGCCAGAGGTGCGGCCACCTTCTCTAGTCATGGAGGGCGGAATGCTCACCTTCGAGGACAAGAGCTCTGGCTGTGAAGGCGAACGGCCCATGAACTCTACGTTGCCGGAATCCAAATGATAGATTCCACCTGAAAAGGGACCAAAACTTGATGCATCTTTTCCTTCGCTGTCTCAACATGAGGAGATTGTTTGCTTGTCAAATCTACATTCCCTTTTAATCCCTTTGAATTCGATGGATTCCTCTCATCTTGACATGGGGAGTTGTAGGGTTGCCCGTTGCTGTGCAAGCCTACAATCTCTTCTTTGGCAAGTTGTACTGTGTCTCATGTTTTGTTGTGTAGTCATGGTCAAGGCTTGTAATCTCAATATGTCCCTTGGAAGATCGCAAGGTGGAGGCCATCCCCATGTAAAGTGAAACATCTGCCACTTCTTTCCACACCTTGAATCTCAAGCTGTCCATTCTTCACTTTCTCCCGGATTGGGGCGCTGTACTTCAACAAGAAGTCAATGGTATGGAAAACATTCACGCGCACGGCATGCGCAGCTACCGTCTCTGCGTCACCTGGCTTCAAGACATCATGTCTATTCCTATTCCTTCCTGGTGAGGGTTTCCTGCAATGGGAATCCATGTGGCATCTGCCATGATTACATGAAGCAGAAACATACAAGAAGAACCAAACGGCACTTACGAGCAAAAGCTTTGCCTCTGATGTTTGGCTTTCATCCGCGATTATCGTTGGAACGCTGTTGGCAAAGATCCATCACTGCGTCCTTTGCCAAAGTCTATCCAAGTCACTGTTGGAACCCATGTCCGCTAGAGCCTTCTCAGCAACTGGAGCTAAGTCCAGCAAAAGGCCCTCCAGGGCAGAATTGACACTGCTAACTTCACTATTCTTTGCCTCCAAATAGGCATTGGTCGCTCCATAAATCGCACCGCATTTGGTATGGCCAAGAACCAAAATCAATTGGGCACCCAGCTTGCCGGTGCTAAATTCCAAGCTACCCACCATGCTGCCTTCTGCGTGTGTACAGGTGTTGCCCGCATTTCGCAGCACAAAGATATCCCCAGGCATTGCGTCGAAAATTGTTTCTAAAGGCGCACGGGAATCAGCGCATCCGATGACGGCGGTGTGCGGCGCTTGTCCCATATCGACTAGAGCATTTCGCATGCCCTCGTTGGTACGGGTTGCCTAAGTCTGGAAGCACGAGAAAACCGAGAAAACCAATGAATCACAGAATCCAATTAATCCAATCATGAAATCATAAAATCTCTCACCATTCATCACACAAACATGATCTTTTCGATCTGTCCTTCTGACCCAACTCCCACCAGACTAAGCTGCCTGAGGTTCTCCCTTCACGAATCGACGATTGCCCTCCTTCAACATCTTCAGGGCTTCGTCAGGCGGCATCGGCGGATCCGCCGCGGTGCGCACCTTCCGACGTCCACCTGGTGACTGGGCTGTGGGATGTTTAAAGCATCAGCCCCAGATTTGGAAAAAGAACAGTGTGTCTACACTATCTATATATATATATAATTTAATTATATATACACGGAGTATTTATCAACGTTTGACCCATCTAACCGGTTTGTGAAGCCAAGCGTTTTGAGAACAGTTGCTTCTGGGTGAACAAGTAACAACATACTGTACAAGTTCGTCAGAGGCATGAGTCATTTGTAGCATGGTACCCTTCTGTTCATATCCCAAAGGGATGTTCAGCTACTTGTTCAATTTGAGCAAGTTTGACCTAATCAAGTTTCAAGACCCGACCCCTAGCACTGCACTCGCACCTGGTGTGAACATCCTTTCCGCGCGGCTGGCGGCAGTTTCAAAACGGCTGCAGGCATCAAGGCCAGGGATGTTGTGATCATGAACATGGTAAGCCCAACGCCATAAGCCATGCCATTAACCAACCCATGACTGGGGGTCATTTTACATCATCCCAGTCATAGTGGTCCCATGAACTATGAAAAAGTTCCAATCCCTAAGTTCGACACAAGTTGTCCAGTTGGAAGTGGGTGACATCATTACATTTGGCTGACTCCATGGGCAGGGACCAAAGAGTCACCAATGGGATTGACATGGATCCACGTGTTCGTTTCGTCAATCCACCTCTGCATCCAATCAACACTTTGAAAAGTCGAGATGTGTACCGAAATATAACATCAAACCCAAAAACAGCAGAGTGTTCAATCAAAAAAACAAAGAAAAAGGAGCATACGGAGGTTTCCTGAAATGAGGGGTCCCCAAAACCATGGGTCTTAATACCAAAGTAGTCTGATTTTGGATGGGGGTACCCCTATTTTAGGAAACCCCCATATTATGTTTATACAGTAACCGTTCTTGTAACCGTTCTTGAAAGGTTCCCACATGGTTCCCTGAATGCTTCGCCTCTGAAATCTCTCCGGCCTCAGGAGTTGATGATGTTGATGGGGTTCTCCAAATCAATTGGAGGGGATGCCAACTATGAAATTTGGTAAAATTGGTAAAATAAAAAAAAATGTGATATTCTTGTGATATCTAGGGATCACTTTTTACCAATATCATGGCAAAATATGGCAAATATGTAAGGCGGTGAAGGGGCTTTCTCAAACTCCGGTGATGTTACTTGAAGTCCCATTCAACCACCAAGCGCATGACCAGGGTCTCAGGCTGAAACCAGGTGAAAATCATTTCAAGGGGAACTCATATGATGGACACATGTGCAGTTTCCTTCATATCACGTTCAGATCCAAACTGAAAAACACATGTCTTGGATACTGAATTCCCCCCGAGCTCTATTCTCCACATCTATCACTATTGGCATTTTGCATCCTATCACTATTCTGTCTATGTGAAAATTTCTCTGTGAACCTGTTCAACCTGTTCAAGCTATTCCTATCACTTGCATGTTCTGTTTGCCAAGGCGCAGGCCAAGACGACGTCATGGTCGCGGCGTAGAAAGCTTCAGCTATCGGAATCGTGGGAATAGCAGGATTCCTCAGCCAGTTCCTTTGGAGTGACTTTGTTGCAGTGATATTCTCTGTCAAATCCCAGCAAATCTTGAATTTTGTCCCATGAATCGTTATCTTTGTCTTCCTTTTGTGTCATGTTAAAAAACAACTATTGTTCTATATAGTGAACAATCTATTATGTGAGAGTAATTTATCGTGTGAATCAATATTGCAAAGATGGAAACATGCATGCCTATGCCTTTGCTCCAGGTGGAGAGAATGAAGGCAGGCAAAAATGTTTTGTTTGACGGAGAGTCTGTACTCAAGGACATGTAAAGTGGGCTGCGGATCACATTGACATATTTTCGCACCATCCATTGTAGTTTTCCTTGTCCTTTTTGTTATCGTTCGACCACCTCCACATGATGCTGTTTTGGGATACCATGGGATCACTTTAGCAAAGGATGCATATATGATATGTATATATATACATATGTGTGAATATATATATATATATATATAAATGTATACATGACTTAGGTTATTGTGTTTTCCTTTTATCCTTTTCGGAGCTCGTGACCTCGTCATCACTTCAGCTGTTCTCCCACCCAAGATTCTCCGCAGCAATTCGACCCAAGATTCTCTGCAAAGTCAACATCCAGTTCTGACCCCGAGCTGCCATGGCGTCACGGGCAATCGAAAGCTGCCATACAAAAAGGGCTGTTCCATCCCCTTAAGTGGCTGATGATTGGCTGATTCCACTGAACTGCAGTAATTTCGAGGACTTTTCGTCAGGTTGAGCCTAGCAGCCCCACGGTAGGAAGTAGGTCTCGCTAGGTTCAAGACGGCTCAACGACAACTTCACATCAAAAGAGCTATAAAGCACCTCCTTGTGGTGTTGCGAGAATTCCCTGAGGTTTCCCAAGCCAATCAGTTGTAAGCATGAAACAGTGTCCTTTTCAACTGCTTATGCTTGCAAAGTCAACATTCAGTAACAGCGCAACTAATGTTTTTGCATGTTTTTGCGAAGTCTTTGAGCTATCGAAATGCTGCCGCTCTTCAGCTGCATTGAAGACTCGTGAGACTCGTTGAGCAACCACCACAAATAGTCAGAGATCAAGTTCCAACTTCCCCCAAAACAAGTCATTAATCGTTTGGTTACACGGTTACACTTACACGTTGCAAGCATATTTTCATTGCTTGGAGTACTTTCACCAAACTGGTCTCTCTTCCACGGCCGCCGCTGTGTACGCGGCTGTCCGGCTTGGGCAGTCGTTGGTACAGCGGCACTTCCACTGCGACTCGGGCTCCACCATGCTATGCCTCGATGCCACAATCATGACAAATCTTGGCAGAACGATACTACAGGATGCCATAGCCACACCCACAGGATACCAGAGGATGCCAAAGTCACTAGAAATGGAAATTAAGTGCAGTTCGTCCCATCAGATCAACTCGCGTGTAAGTGAAAAGAACGCCTTAATAATATATATATATTATATTATATATATTATATATTATATTATATATATATATCATATACAAGCTACATAAAAAATCACATGCCAACGAAAATTCCCTGTTTGTGGAAAATCATGATCGCATTCCTGTTTCCCATCGAGATATCACATTGTCATTTTGGGCTACCCGAGCATTTTATGCTGGTTGCTGATTCTCTTTTTAAGTCATCAATGAAAATCAATGAAAGCCCTCAAAAATGCGGATATCACCCAAAATTGGGCATCCATCATGTTGGTGATTTCAGCCCCCTTAGAAATGGGAGTATCAACCCCAGATCGGCACCCCATTCTGCGCTCGGCTGACCCCTGCAGGCGGTCTTTGGCTGGGGGTCAGTCGCGCGCCTCAGTGGACTCATTTGAAATGCAAATTCTGCAGCTGTCATTTTTGAGAAAAGGACCCCATGGACCCTGGCCTAGCCTAAAAACTGCTGGGGTGCTAGATATTGGAACAAGCTCTGACTTTCAAACCGATCAGCATTGCCAGTGGATCCGCTTGTGATGCTTTCAGGATGCAATCCTGTCGCTTCTGGAAGCTTCCGAGAAATCGATCATTCAAATCGGATTTGAAGCACGCGGATGTGCACAATAGAGAGGATACCTCAAAACCAACAGGTCATGCACCAGAGTCACTACAGCTAAGCTATGGCACTTCGCAAGCTGACTTCCAGCAAGGGATGCCTGCTGGGAATGGAGGGGGAGTGATGAAGAACCAGCCCTGAAACCAGAGAAACACAAGACTGCCAACACTGATACCAAATCTTGGTGTCTTGACTTGGGACACATTCAAACTCTCCGGTCTTAAAGAAAACAAATCCTTCTCATATCTTCTCATACCGCGCGCCCCAAATGAAGATATCCCGCCTGAAATTCAACAAAGGAAGCGCACAAAAGAAATGGCTAAGAAAATCAAACAAATTCCACTTTCACCTTAACCCAAAGAAAAATGCACAACACCCCTTTCAGCTCAGCCTCGACCTCATTAGCTCAGGCAATGTCGCGCCTTGCAGCATGTCTGGACTTCACTCTCCTCATTTTGAGGGGAAAAAAATGTTGAGAGCATCACCGCAGCATCAATGGGCACTAACACCCTTCTTAAAATACATCCTACTGTTTTGAATCGTCAATGGTGATATATACAGGATGATTGGTGCTCAAACAGTATTCCAAGATGTTCCGAAATAAACTCCATCATAGGGTGGTTCTGACACCTTTGCCATGTCAAGCTCTGTTGTGCGCCTGCGACCCTGTCGATGGTATTCACCTGGGCACAGCAGCAAGCACCATGACTGGGGTTGATGTCTTGTCGGCTCGTACACCACAAAGTCATGACATCGGCACGTGAATGTACTTGAAACATGTCCCATAATGTTTAGAAACCACAAGTTCCAAAGAGGAGCATATTGTATCATGTTGTGATTTAATTAGGGAATGTCTTACTTTCCACTTGGACATACACATCCTCCCACACAAAACACACCCGAAGCTCCCCACATGTTGACATGTCAAATCCCCAGCGGCCTGTGACCTGCTGGAGATTCCAGTCGTGCTTGGCCTTGAAGTCGTTTCGACCCTGGGCGTTCCTGTCCTCACAGTGAACGCGAACAGCATCAGAACCCAAGCATCACTGATGCCGCACAAAACCCATTGAAGATATTGAAGTTGAAATGAAAGTTCGAGCCCATCGTAGAAAACCAAAGTCTCCATGTGGCCGGGCTTGGGATGCCAAGCTTCCCCAAAAATTACTGTATCCAAATCTGGCATTCAGTGGGTGTTACATGGTGTTACGGTACTATCAAAAGAAAAGATATCACAAAAATCAAGGGCTACAACGACGGCTACCCGGCTACCCGGCTACCCCAGTCAAACCGCAGCTCCTTTGCGAGGCAGCGCCCACAGTGCTAGGTCGGAGATCTTGTGAAACTATGGCCAGTGGCACACCAGGCCTTGCCGAAGAAACTCTCCAACTCAGCCTTTCTGAAAGGGTGTAGTACGTGTAGCTTCAAAAGACAAGAGTTTCTTCATTCCTAAAAGTTTGCAAAGGTTTGATGGGATGTAATGATGTACTCTATCTTTGCGCGACACCGGAAAGCATCCACTGCTCGTTTGGATCTTCGCTGGAGACCCAACTTGCGCACGAATCTTCGCTAAGCCACCAGCGGCCGCTTCTCGACAATCACCCCAAGGTCCTGTCGGTGTTTCAGTCGCGATTCCAGTCCCGGAGGTCTCCAAAACCAGAGAGATCTGTGCCCACCTCGCAGGCACCAAAGTGAGCCTTCATTGTGGAAGTTGGAAAGCTCCTGGCACAACTTTTCTCAGCACATGGTTCAAATCGACAATTGTGCCATGGTCACAGTAGGTTTTTTTTTGGGGGGGGATATGGACATGCATCCCACAATGGGAATCCTGAAATTGGGTGTGTATAAAAAAATCATGACTATCCTCCAAGTCTTGACACTATGGCACCCTCAATTTGACTGAATCATTTCTCGTCAACTCTGCGAAGATGGTTTGTTTAACCATGTTTAACCATGTTTAACCCAAAAGCATCGCCTCAAATCACCTGTCCACTCAACTGATTGATTCTAGTGTTCGCAAATCATTCTTTAAAAAAATAGAAACATAAAATATCATAAAATATTTTTAGAACAATTACTCGGATTTGACTTAGAGACATTTTCCATTTCCAAATTCATGGATGGTTCAATCATGGTTTGCTGTAAAATGCACCGTGAACCCATCCTATAGAACAATTACTGGATATTTTTCTGGTCAATTCAACCTTTTCTGTTTTGGCTTTTTGGCTCTGGACCTCGGTGCGAAGGCCCTGCTGCGTGCGAAGAGATGGGGTTTCACCTCTCGTTTGCACACCTGGCGATGGGGAAATCCTCTGGAGATGCCTGGGGATACTGGGAATTTTCACATCTGTATACCCTCTGGTTATGTCAAAATAGCTATTGAAAATGGCCATAGAAATAGTGGATTTAAAAATGGTGATTTTCCACAGTTATGTTAGTTTACCAGAGGGTAATGGGAATGTAACCACAATGGATCTTATACTGGGATTATATGGGGATGTTACTGTTTCCCATGAAAAAATACTGGGATGTTATATATAATGGGAATGTACCAACCACAATCCAACCAGAATCTGGATATCATAATTAGAATAATGAGAATATCATAATGGGAATATAATTGATATCCATCATAATGGGAATATAATTGATATCCATCATAATGGGAATGTACCAACCACAATCTGGATATCATTCTAAAGGACGACTATATAGATGATAGACACACTCATGCAAATAAAATGAACATAGTACTGCCAGTTCCCACCCAAGTTCGTGAGAAAGTCCAAATCAACCCCAAAAAAACATAAAACAACTGTATGAAGTAAGAAGCAGCTGAGACAAAACAACCCACAGCAAGACACCTCCGCCCAGTACACTTGTCGCAACCATGGGTTCTTCTGAAAGTGACTCGAGTCCCTGGCATGGCCAACAAACGGAGAAAATGCTCACGGAAATCTTCAAAAACTGCAGAGCTGTCACTTTACTTTCTCAAACCGGCCCGACAGCACATGATCCACGATCAGCTCGCAATTCGCGTCAAAGGGCGCTTGCGGTTGACTTGGCTACGCAGACATTTAGGTAAGTGATAATCCGACAGGGCGTTGATGACATGCCCATTTACATCCATTCACGCTGTTGATGCTTCATGAAGCTACAATTTCGGTCTTCTCGTGAAAGACGCCAGTGGAGAGATGAAGACATGGCTCTTCCTTGCAATGTCAATCCACTGGGTCCTTGGTCACTTGATATCACTTGATGCACACAGACCCGCTGAGCCAAAAGAGGCATCATATCACAGATCCACTGAGATCCTCATGTACACTTTACCAAAACATCGGCAGAAACAGACCTGACTCAAGCACCAGATAACCCATGATGGCTGCACCACAATCATCACACGGAAATCCTGCTACCCTGCTCCGCATTCCTCCAAATCACTTGTGGTGTACAGCAGCATGTCCTATCCGTCCCTTTCTTTCGCCACAAGCGTCTCGCACACGATGCCGTGACCGGCTGTGTCCATACGTGAGATGCACAATGGTTGGCAGCTTCAATGTTGGTGGAACGCAGATGACAAGCCATGCTCCATAGGGCAAGCAGTAAAAACTCCAAACAAAAACATTTGACCAGTGATTGCAGAATAGCAAACCAGCCAATTTCCAGAATTATCAATTGATGAATCTGTTTTTTTACGGCTTCCACTGCTTTGAACATGTCCTGATATTCAGCGTCCCACCGTTGATGCTGCCGACAACTGCCACGACTCAGTCGCCAAGCTCGCCCATGAAGACCATCCTGCAGCTTCCCAGATCTTGGGCGGTAATTTCGAACCCCTAAGGCCCTAAGACAGTAAGCTTCATGGTTTCTCATTGGTTTCCGAGGGTTCGTCTCAAAATATGGCACCCCATGGTACCCCAAAATTTGTGAGTCATCATTTTCCCTACCAAAAATTGGAGGTTTGGCTCAGATACTGCAGCAGATATCCCATTGAAAAAGCCGTGGCTCCTGTCGGAGGCGACCGAGGCAATGATGGGCTCCTTGGGATGGAAGCAGACCTCGTTCACACTGCCCGTGTGTCCTGGGAGCCTCGGGCCATGCTGAGTTGCTGAGTTCAGATGGTACAGACAGGGGATCCCATCGCAAGTTTCTACGTGTGACGTCAATGGAATCAACGAAACACATCTGAGATCTGCTGAACTGACGTAGGAAAGCTCAAGAAGCCATCTGTTTGGCAATGAACATCTTGTGACTTTGTCAGCATGGTATACACCAAGACTCAAGTAGAAAGCCCAATGGGAAATACTCGGAATGTTCCATTACATTCCATTACTATATCAGTTAGCTTGCCTAAGGCCTAAGGGTGAACTTGGAAATGTTTAAGCAGATTTAAGCAGCAAACCTGTATGCGAGCTGAAGCATCTTCATGTCCCAAATGTTCACCTGGCCCGTCGGGGGTCGAGTTGTCAAGAAGCCTTTGGCGTGGTTGCTTTATATAGTATTACTGTCGTATTACTGTAGATCTCATGATATAGTACTAGTTTGGACACTTATTTAAAAAATGTTCCTCTGAATTGGTTAATATCCCTGTTTATGGATTGGAACTGAATCATGTTTGTTGGTCAAGACCACAGCTTTGTTGGTTGCGCCCCTAGGTTTATTGATTCCATCTTCAATTTCTACCCTCTCACAGGCCAGGAGTACGTTCTGGCATGCTGATCCGGCTGCAAGCAGCGCATCCTTCTCGGACCAGCGAACCTTTGCCGAGCTTGAGCCAGAAAACATGGGAATGTGATATGTGGGATGTCATTTATCGAAAAGGAGACATCGAGCTATCCATCAACTCCATCCGGGACACCTGCCGAGGTTCTCTATTCGGAAGCATGCAGAATATGATACAGCCGATATGGCGGATGAAAGTGAGGAGATAAACACACCAAGGTCACCAAAGTGGTGGTACTGACGAAACAAACCTGCGGATGTAGGCAAAAAATAGGTAAGATAGCAGATCATGAAAGTTTGATCTCCAAGCACGGATCAAATTGTGTCCATTTCTTCATCAGCCTCAGTCCCAAGACAAATCGAAAGAGTTACTTGGGTGCCAAGCGCGCAAGAGGTTCTTCTCGAAATTATGTGTCGCACCTGCATTGATGCTACATCACCTCCTTTCTGTGACGACCAAAACTAAACTCAACACACTCATAGCACAGTGGTAAAAGGGTATCTGGTAGGTCAGTACAGAGAATTGAGAAAAGTAAGAGGATCCCACCGATCCTTAAATGTTGACACACACCCAAGTGACTCTTCAGTGAGCTGGGACCGTGCCTCGCATGATTCGGAGGCATCTATTCCTCACCAGCTTCACATAGGGTCACACCACCTAGCTTAACACAATGGGATGATACTGTAGCCTATACACCACAGGATTCAATCTACAACCCTTGCAAGTCTCACGGCTGCACCCCAACCCGGACCTTCGCCCATATCCAAATAACACACCCAAACAATGTCATATAATGGTCACCTGAGGATGAACGAAAACACTGGCTATACGCAGCGATTTTGACTTTAGGTTTCAGGATTTTGGAATTTAGGGTTGTAGGATTTCAGGATTGAGGGGTTTAAGGTTTCGGGTTTCAGAGGTTTAGGGTTTATTGTTTTGGAAAGTTTAAAAACGCCAGCCCTACAGTACGGCAGGGATTTGAGCATGTCAATAGATATGCTGATATGCGGGATCAGTCGCGGGCAAAAATCAGGGTTGCAGCGAAATTTCAAGTTTGGAGTAACGCCATTCTCGAACAACCCCCCACTTGACGAACTTGAAGGACTATCCAGCACAGAAAGCAGTTCTGCAATTGATGTCACGACCTTTGAAACATGTATATATGTATTCACGGGTGACGTGTTCTTAAGACTTCAAAGGAAATCTGTGTTGCAGGAATTCCTAGTGGTCATCATTGGCCCATAGGTTATTCATGTACCAGAACCAATGATCTGATATGAAACCAAAACAAAAAAGAAGGACCGTACTTGTCAGTTAAGAACACTAGTAAGTTCATCATCAAAGTTTGCAAAAAACGTGGCGACTAGAAATATGGCTATGGGTCAAAAGCTTGTACCCCTGGTGAACCTCAAAATAGCTGGTAAATGGATGTTCATCCCCCTAAAAATGGTATGTATAGGTATTGATCCATAGCCATATAGTAGTTCTTTGGTCCACGGTTCTGCCTCCTGCCCGGAACCCCCAGTCCTTTGGCCAGCGAAGGGCCGAACGTCCCAAATGCGGACCGTGTTGTCCATGGAATTTGTCGCCAAGAAGTTCCCATCCTGGCGGAAATTTCGTGGAAATGGCCCTGTCCCCCAGCCACAAATGTGGTGATCAGCTCTGGTAATGGCTGACATAGCTATTGAAAATGGCCATTTATAGTGGATTTTCCCATAAAAAATGGTGATTGTCCATAGTTATGTTAAATTACCAGAGGGTAATCAGCTCTGGTCCCTTGACAAATTGACTGCAACCTAGATTCATGCATCCCAGATCATCCCAGGTCCTTGGAGACATCCAGGCCGGTAATACTGTCGCCATGGCCCTCCAGCACCTCAGTCGTTTCCATCAGGGTCCCGGTGCTCAATTGGATGCCAAGTCTGTAGGTCTGAAGCCTAATTTCTGAGCCTTAAATGATCACAATACTTCTTGGGTCACAAACACTCAAGTTCCAGTCCACAAGCTCTGGTTTAACAGATGGCAATTCAAGGTTTGAAAACTGACTCACCATGTTTGATGGCATTTTCAAGACTAAGTCCTCATTCTTGAGATCGTCATCGCCCATCATGTTGATCTATCCAGGTGTCCCTGAAAATGGTTGGCCCATCGGCCTGGGGACACTCTCCTGGCCCCGACGCTTTGGCACCTCTGGGTCTTGGTCTCGCATCCTCATGTCGTAGATCAGGACAGTATTGTCCAATGACCTGCATAGCCCCTCATCGGCTTAGCGCTGAGGTCTGGCTCAACCAAGAGGCGGTTGGAGTATGTCTGTCCCAAATTCTTTTCTGAAACTGTTCACAAAAGGGGAAGAAAAAAGTGGGAGATCCACCAGATCAGCATCCACACCCTGAGAAGATGCGTTCTGCGGTGTCATCAAAGGAGACGGCCAGGATTTGGTACCTTCACAGCATGCGTCGTGATGCAATGAAAACCAAGGCAACGCGTCGGCGCACTGATGCTCAAAGGTGTGCACCTCGGGATCCAGAAATGTCAGGTGCAAAAAAAATGGAAAATCTACAGTATTAAAAAAATGGATCAAAATGATATGTTCAAGACATCTGAGAGAACTGTTGACATCGTAAATTAGTCTTAAATGATCGAATCAGCTCAAAACTCAACGGCGGCAAAGGGCGTACGGTTTCATGCATGTTTGTCTTGCACCTCAAACCTTCTGTGGCTTACCTTGTTCTTGGGATTCTGGTGTTTTCGACCTTTTTGTTGGCAAACATTGCATTTTTGGGAGCACGTCTCTTTGAACCTCGTGTGCCAATGTGTTCTTCGGAACCTTGCAATTGGAAACAATTTATTTGAGACCTTATCAATAAAATGAAGACCGTTTGTCGCATTATTTTGTGGTGGGATGCTGCAGTGGGCTAGCTATCCCACTGAAGAAAGCAATTTCACGAACATTCACAGCGGCAAGCAAGAAAGTAACGGGAAGGCGTTGTTCATGTACATAGTTCGGAATCTTGAAGCCTTCCCAAAATCTGGCCGTCAACTCTTGTCAAAAGCTGCATGTGCATCATCCTGAGCCTCCGGACACATCGCCGAACGCGCAAATCCCACAACTTCGTGGTACCTGATGGCCGAACATGATGCATTTCTATACCAAGATGATTCAAACACCTCCAGGGGCCTCCCAAAAGGACTTTACTGCTGCAAGAGCTTTGTGTGTAGCCACAACAGGGAAAGGATACGCATGAATTCATCGCACTGCAGTTTGCAAGGATCTAAAGCAAAGCTCTTCACCCGATGACTCCACATTCACAATTTAGCTTCAAAAACAAAATGAATGCCCGATGCAGCACTCGTGGCTTCAACATGATTGCATGGTGCAATGGGTTACCACTGGTTGCCATCCCTTTCCCTCGCTCATGTTTGTGCCCTTTGTCTTTCAAACGTTGCGGGGCACCATCATCTCCTCCACTTACCAGGTATGGAACGCCACGTCGGGAAGTCTGCAGCCAGAAATCATTTGGAGCTCATCCAAACCAGCTTCCTATAGAGATCACCTTTCTTCCATCGGCAACTTGAGCAACCAAACATGGCCAACTCATCTTCCAACCTTTGGTTGATCTGAAAGCAAGGTCTCTGCCAGGGAAGTCACTACCCGTTGCAGATGGCACCTGCATACTATTCACGATGGCGGTGTGCCCGTTGAGTTTCTTCAAGCGCTTGCCGGATTCGGGGTCCTGGTCAAAGGTCCCCAGGTGGTGTTTGGGGTCAACATTGGGCACCAAAACAAACCATGTGTTTGAACAAAATGGATACCCTCTGGTAAACTAACATAGCTATTGAAAATGGCCATTTATAGTGGATTTTCCCATAAAAAATGGTGATTTTCCATGGCTATGTCAAATTACCAGAGGGTAAAACCGGGATGCCTAGTGGATGAGCCTCTTGGGCAGGTCGCCAGGTCACTAAAAAATGTGCTGTGGCTAAGCGGCTAAGCATCCCTAAGATTCCAAGCATCCCTGTCCAAATGTCCAAATGTCCAACCTTGCCCAGCGGTCCCAAACACAAACGCTCTTGTCTGCGGAGCAGGTATACAGCTGAGTACCATCATGTTTCCAGTGAACCTGTCAACAGGCTGGATGGCGACATCACATGGTCAACTGCATCTGAAAAATCTTCCATGGTCAAACATTGTCAAACAATAAACGCCGGGGATGGATATCCGGCTGTAGGAATCACTTTAGACTCACATTGACTATACAGAGATACATAGATTACATAGACCCTCAATTCTTCAAGTAATGACCCGTTTTCTAAGATGATTACCCCTTGACCATGGCTCATATCTCGGCCTCAAGGACGGCATTTGCGTGGCCCTTCATGACGCCATAGTTTTCGCATTCGCCGTAAACCTGCATCGTTGTTGGGCCACGAGTGTGTCATTCTGCAGAAGGGTGGGGTGGAATGACCACTAATGATTCACTACTGGCCACCATGAGTTCTGATACATCTGTGGCTAAATCTGTACAGCTTTGAGAAGTGGTTCCAGTTTTGAACTGACGAAGGTGTCACTTCCATGGGGCTAAATTGCATCGTTGTTTGTGAAAATCCTTACGCACATCTTAAGCCCAGAAAATGCACCTGGAAACCGAAGCAAACTCAGCAAACACGTCTCCAAGCTCCCCCACGTGCCAGAGGTACAGGGATTTGTCAAAGGAGCCAGTGGCTAAGGCTCGTCCATCAGGAGAGAACTCTGCGCAAAACACCTGGTGGATCAGCAAGAGCCTAGAAGTTCCGGAAGTTTCAACTGAAGCAATCGGCACAAGGATCCACAAGGATCCACAAGGATCAAAAACAAGCTTCTGTTGTCTCCTGTCTACCAATCCAAGCCCTCGTGTCAGCAAAGGGCCTCTCCCTCGTGACCAGTCAGCAACATTGTGGGCCCGAAAAGGCCACTTTTTCTGTTCACATGCTGAACCTCAGCGCAGCGGGATCAACTGGAAGGGACAGGCTTGGGATGACTTGAAGCAGATGCAGCCAGAGATGTCGATTTCCGCCCCGCAGCAAACGATGGGAACCATTCCACAGAAAATTCCAAGCAGTTTGAGAACAGTTCCTCCCAACCACAGTGATTTCCAGCACCGAGCTCCACACATGGATAAGCTGCTCCTGAAGTGCTGGGACCTCGGTCATCAGGCTGAGGCAACAGAACTTCCTGCCAGTTCACATAGAAAGTCCCAAACAAAAATTGGACCCTGGATGAAATCTGGTGAATCTTGTCCACTGGAGATTGGAATTTTGGATAGTTCCATGCTCTAAATCTCGGTGCACAAGCCCAAGGAAGCAACGACCCAGCCGTGAGCCAGAGGTTACTGTGGCCCCAGGCAAGCTCCGCGCCGCCGGTATACTTTTGCCTCTTGGCCGCCTGAGGGATTGATCAAAACACCATTTAGATCAGCAAAAGAATGGATTATTTCGTGTGGATTTCCCATGAAACGCAGCCAAAACCAGTTGAAATCTGTAATTTTGATCCATGACGCATTCACATGTGTCTCGAACAGTTCTGAAAGATTGACGCTCTTTCCACGCTACACAGCCAGGGCTACCTAAGAACTTCTACCTGCCAAAAGAGCATCTTCAATACGTCCTCAGGATGAGACTGGCTCACCCGTACTTACCAGGGCCATGGTTCTGCTGCCTGGCGGAGTCTCAATGACTGGATCCCTTCCGCAACAGTTCGGCCCACTGGCCTGCCCTGGAGAGGGGTCACCCGGCAGCTTTCAGTCTGGACCAAGTTGAGCCAAAATGGCAGCACACGGAAGTACTTGGAGGATGTACTTAGAAGATGTTAAGATGTTAGAAATAGTTTGGGGATGCACAAGATGTCAACAAATGCTCTGCTACAGCCAGCACAGCAAGTGCATCCCCTTTTTCCTTTCCATCCCGGGCAAGCACAGCCACGCTGCTGTTCATCATGCGAGTTCTGGGCGTTCACGGATCGCCTAAAAAATGTCATCATGTCAATCATGTCTCAAGTTTCAGTTTCTTATGCCTCCTTCACACGTGTTCCCAAAACATCTCCAAAAGTGATGTGGTCCAACCCTGGATGACTATGGAAAAAGTGAAAAAGCTACAGTATGTAGACGTATGTAGACTATATTGAGATGTGAGATGTGCCTCTACCTGATGAGATTTTGACACTGCCAAGTCCATGTACTTGCCACCCTGAGTCCTTCACAGGGGCTGCTCCGTGCGCGCCATCAGGGTTGATAGCTGTTGCAGGGACACAAGGGCAGCCTCGCAAACACGCAAGCTCAGCTCCGGCTCTTTTTCTCTTGAGGGAAAGATAAGATAGTTCAGAAGAAAAATCAAGAGAGGCTATTCAAGGTATCATGCACAACGCAAATGTGTGTGTGTGTGATTCCAGTGATAGTGCAAGTGGAGCATCATATATGCGGCAAGGGCACCGGGAGCGAAGAAGTTGTGGTTGCTCACCTTGACCTGTCGGAGGACTGAAACCTTGTGTTTGAAACCGCAGGCAGACCCTTGGACTTTGAACTGAGGTCGATTGTAAAACCAAAACCGAAAAAAAGGATTGGTTTAATTTAATTAATTCGTTCTTGAACGTTCATTCAAGCCGTTGATACTGATTCAATTTTCTCACCTTTAGCAATGGCATGTTTACCATGGTGAATCTCAACCCCAACCCAGTCGCCATGAAATTCCCAACCTCGAAGCAGCCATCACGATGCACCATATTTCAGATCTGCCAAGCGCTCTTCCTCGGAACTCTAACCGAGCATGGGAGACAACTAAGATAACCATAGATAACCCATGGATTCGTCCATCCCAAAATTTCAAAGTTTGGACCACAGTATCCCAACTTTGAATATCTACTGCTATTTAAATTACTCCATCCAAATTTTTGAGAGTACCTGCAACTTGGATGGTGCAAATGGTCATGTGTCAGCGGAACTTCCGGACCGAGAGGAAGGGTTGGTGGATATGATAAACCAGTTGTGGTGGATGGTATCCCCATTTCTATACGTCAAGCCCGTGGCAGCCAAACCCTGCACCCCCCAATCTTGTTTTTGGCGCATATCCACCCAATGGTTTTTTCGGTTTTTCTTTCTGTGGCAGAAGAGCTTGCACAGCTTGCATGTCGGGTGAGTTCATCACAGGTTGCAGATCAACATCCTCCAGGGCCTCTTGCATCCAGCTGACCTTTTCGGATGGTTTTGGGAGAGCCTCTAAACACATCTTCAGCGCACGGGCCGCAGCATCTGGTCGCCCAGCCAAACCAGCCACACAGGCTAAGTTGTACCAGGCAATGGCCTTGTCATCTCGCTTCTTTCCCGCAGCCTGCAGGGTACTTTCAAGTGGTGGAACTTTGCGCTTTTGTGTTCCTTGTCTAAAAGAAACATGAATCTGAGTGAATCAATTTTGAAGGGATATTAAAGAAGGAACCTCACGACTTTCCAATTAAAAATCAAAAATATGTTTCATCTTTTCTGCATCCCAGGAAACCTCCACTTTCCGGACCCCCACCTGAAAGGCCTCACTGGCCTTCTGCAGATGCGGCTTGGGATCCAGCTGCCGTGCAAGCGCCAGGCGCCCCAGATCCAGCTGCAGTTCCCCCAGTGGCAGCGGGGCCCCCGCCGCAGCGTACGCGGCCTCCGCCAGCGCCGCCAGCTGCTCCTCCGTCACCGCAGGGGGCAGTGGGTCCACCAGCTCGCCGTTGGCGCCGTGGCGTGGGAGCTCGGGGAGCAACAGGCCTTCCTGAGGCTGGAACCAAAACCAGTTTTCAAATGTCAAAATTTGGGATGAGAGGACCTTTCTCAATCCTTTATCATCCATTTCTGCTGCCAAATATGGAACATCTTGGGGAATCTTGGGGGAAGTTTAGGAATGGAACAGCTTGAGGGGATTTTGAGGGGGCTTACTTAACATTTAGTCAAACCCGACTCTTATTTAAACGATGAAACCTTCAGACTTCAAAGGTTGGATTGTTCAGCAAAATGATTATACTCTTCCACTGCCATGCTTTGTTGCTTGTTCGTTGGTTGGCCCTGCTGGGCAGAAGCTGGTCACTGAACTCAGAAAAATCATCACCAAAACGATCCAAAAGGTGAAGTTCCTCCCTCAATGCCCAAGTTTCGGCCCCAAACAGCTGCCCCAACGACATGCATCTGAGAGCAGAGACCGTCGCAGGGGAGGCCAGCAGCAAGCGACAAGCTGCTGCGAAGGTGTCTCCTTTCAATTCATCATAGCCCGGAGCCAGGTAACCTGGTGGCACCCAAACATCCAAGGGAAAATACACAAGTGATATCAACTGATTATCCCAAACTTGGTGCGAAAAAATGGGCTATCACCTAATCACCTGAGCTCATCATCCCAAAAGTGGGTGGATAACATCCGACAATCTGCGAGTGGTCCCAAAATATCCCGAAATCATCAGATATCCTCATGGTTGGAATTTAGTTCCATTGCTTTTGACGAATTCTTCCAATTGATTGTCAAACAAAATCTGAATGAAACCACCAAAAAGTGGCAAATAGCCAGAATCTCTGTCAGTGCAGAGCGCCAGGCGAGCAGGGCACGTCGCAGCCACTCGGTCTTGGTTTCAAGAGACTGGCAGTTGTTCAAAGCGACTTTGGCAAAGTTCACGAACTCCAGCAGGTGCTCCACATGAAGCACCATCCAATCAACATCCCTCTCTTCCATCCCATCATCGCCTTCATCGCCTTCATCGCCTTCATCATCAATGGCTGTTTGCGCCCGTGTGAACTTCTCTGCTGCTTCCTCGCAAAGCTTCGAAAGCAACTGAAGTTGCTCTTGCCAATCTACCTGTCCCAGGCCAGGGCCTAGGCCTTTTGTTCTCTCTATTTGTCGTTTCATCTCCAAGGCTTGGGCCTTTCCCCAGTCTCCCCAGTCAGCGCCCAAGTCAGGTGCCCCCCATTCCTGTACCAATCGCCAGGCCTCCCCAAAGTGCTGCAAGGCCTCCAGCACCGGAGCTGACTCCTCTCCTTCCGCCTGTTCCGCCTGGCGGGTCAGCAGCCGCCCCAGCGCCAAGGCACTCAGGTACCGCAGCTCCGCCCGCTTCGACGTGTCCAAGCGCAGCACCGTGCGGAACGCCTCCAGTGCCCTGGGCAGAAACTCGTCTCCGGCTTCAGCCGCTTCAGCTTGCCACAGCTCTGAAGCTGAAAAACCCAGGTTGTACCATGCCAGCTGCTTGGTCGGCAAATGGCTGACGGCACCCTGGAAACACTCGTAAGCCTCGCCATAGCGTTGCTCAGCCAACAACTTCTCGCCATCTTCCAGCAGCTGATCTCCTACTTCGGATGTGGGTGCTGGGCCAGGTTTCTTCCGGCCGAGGACCATGGCGCAAGTCTTCAAATCATTGCGTTGTTACCTTGTTGCTTAGTCCATCACATCCAAGTGGAATGCCCTCTGGAGACTGACCTCTGGGGGAAACTACACAAGATGTTGGCAAAACAGGTCTCAGAAATTGAACCCGTCTACACACTTTTGCTTTAATTCTTCAAGTCAAAGACTTCTTGTGCAGACTTCAGGGCCGGAGTTTTGGAATGATTTGGATAGTCTTGCATCAGCCTGCTGACACAGCGGTTGCCAGACCCATCCACGTGTTGAACAAACAAAACATGCTGCGAAGCTAAAACCACGCGTCTGAAGAAGGGAAAAAACCCTGTTGGCATGATATTGATTGAGATTGAACATTTGTCCTTGCACAATGTTCCCCTATGTTCTCTTGTTTTGTCTTGCTCTAAATCCCTAGTAGTTCCAACATGTTCGCGACAGCTGGACATGCAGGAGGATACAGGTCCTCAGAAAACGGTTGTCAATTTGTGGACCTCCGAAATTTCAAATGATCGGCCTCAAGCGTCAATGAGCGTAGAGGAGCTGCTGCTCAGAATAGTTATTCGAACATGTCCACTATTTTCCCATTTTCAGACCCGTATCCATTGCTGGCTGTAAATCTCTATGTGCGATTCATGTGACGCTTAAACCCCCATTTTGGTTGGTGACACCCAATGTGTCCACGAGATGCCCAATGTTGACGTCCCCCACCTCCAACTCCATCGCACGCTGGAACCAATACGCCGAGGCAGACTGCCAGCAGTTTCAGCAAGCGGTTCGGAGTCCAGCTATTTTGGGCATTTTTGGCCATATATGGGATATATATGGGATCAAAATGCCCACGACGGCGCACGGCAGCAAGATGGGGCTTTTGTGCCTAAAAGGGCGCCCTACAGTAGCGCAACTGCTATCAGCTGGAGGTGGCCCGGGAAGCTGGATGTCAAACAGCTATGAGGTGGATGCCTTTGGGGGCAATGTGGCATGATGATGGCAATTTCACATGGGATAGATATATATATATACACACACATATATATGAAAGGGTGTGAAATAGTTTTAGGATTTTTTTTTGAGCAGGTTTGGGAATTTTTTTTGGATTTCTTGGCTGGTACAATTTGCCTAGTGTTTGCAACGGTTTGGACCTTGAATTTGCCATTTTGCATGGTATTTGCCACATTTGGGCATGTTCACCTTCCATTTTGCATGAGATTTCCTGCGTGTGGACGTGTTCACCTTCCATTTTGTATGGTATTTGCCACATTTTGGCATGTTCACCTTCCATTTTGCATGGGATTTGCTATATTTTGTATGGGATTGGCCACATTTGGGCATGTTCACCTTCCATTTTGCATGGGATTTGCTACATGTGGGCGTGTTCACCTTCCATTTTGCATGGGATTTGCTACATGTTGGCATGTTCACCTTCCATTTTGCATGGTGTTTTCTACATGTGAGCATGTTCACCACATCATCATGCCAACCCCAAGGGATTTGATACATTTTGGCATGGCCACCTTCACTACATCATCATGTCACCCCCAAGCTGTCAAGAGAAGGTTAATTCGCAAAAATGCAAGTTGCGGACGATGGTCATGGTTAGAATTCACACTATCATGTTCACCACATCATCATGCCAACCCCAACTAATGTATTTACGAGCTTGGGTTTTAATATAAAAAAGCGGGAGGGGGGATTGGGGGGAGGGCGCAGCGCTTCCCCCCAAAGCAGAATGCAAGCATCTCTTCTCACATGTACAGTAATGCTATCAGCTTTCAAGAGAAGGTTGGTTCGCAAAAATGCAAGCTGCGGACGATGGTCATGGTTAGCATTCACACCATCATGTTCACCACATAATCATACCAACCCCAACTAATGTATTTACGAGCTTGGGTTTTAATACAAAAAAGCGGGAGGGGGGGATTGGGGGGAGGGCGCAACGCCTCCCCCCAAAGCAGAATGCAAGCACCTCTTCTCACATGTAACGCTGACAGCTTTCAAGAGAAGATAAGTAATGTGATACTCAGGGATGTAAATACTGTGCAAAATGCATCTTACATGAAAAGTCACGTATTTACAGATGCAGAAGCTTGAGTTTAGATAAAAAGCGGGTGGGGGGGATTGGGGGGATTGGGTTTTAATATAAAAAAGCGGGAGGGGGGGATTGCGGGGAGGGCGCAGCGCCTCCCCCCAAAGCAGAATGCAAGCACCTCTTCTCACATGTTACGCTGTCAGTTTTCAAGAAAAGAGATATGTAATGTGATACTCAGGGATGTAAATATTGTGCAAAATGCATCAGAGAAGAGCAGAGAAGCAGAAAAGAGAAAAGCAAGAAAAGCAGAGAAGCAGAAAAGCGGAGAAGCAGGCAAAGCAAAAAAGAAGAAAAGCAAAAAAGCAGAGAAGCAAAGAAACAGGAAAAGCAGAAAAGCAAAACAGCAGAAAAGCAAAGAAGCAGAAAAGCAAGCCAAGAAGCAGGAAAAGCAGAAAAGCAGAGAAGCAGGAAAAGCAGGAAAAGCAGAGAAGCAAAGAAACAGGAAAAGCAGAAAAGCAGAGAAGCAGGGAAAGCAGAAAAAGCAGAGAAGCAAAGAAACAGGAAAAGCAAAAAAGCAGAAAAGCAGAGAAGCAGAGAAGCAGGAAAGCAGAAAAGCAGAGAAGCAGGAAAAGCAGGAACAGCAGAGAAGCAGGCATCCGAAAAAAATCCTAGACCTGATCAAAAAAAAATACCTAAAATAATTAGCCCTCCATATATATATATACATATATATATGGGTATATTTGGATATATGCAATTTGCTGTTCCTGAGACCGATAGGAATTGAAAGTTGTCAGAAAACGAAGCAAAAACTACGGCGGACACCATGGACACCCTGTCAATGCCTCGTCAGGAAATGTGCCCTCCCCTGCAAGGTACATGACGCCGAGCCTTGGTCGTTGGCAAAGCTGCTTGAAATGAGAGTCTATGGTAAGTTTTTAGGCATGCCTATGTTGAATTGCATACGAACTAAATGTCATTCTCCGAGCCAAAAACTCCACAAAGCAGCAATGCCACTCCTTGGGCCCAGTGCTCATTCGCAGCTTCAGGGTTACCGTTTTCAGCCGCCTGTCAAAAAATAAATGTTCATCAATGTTTTGAAAACTACGGGTTCCACTTCTACCTGTGTCAAATGCCAAACAGGTCTGGATTTTTGGGGATGCTGGCTAACTTTCGTGAATGTTCATAAATTCCCATGCATGTTGTTTTCTGGTACAGTGAAGGCCTTTAGTCACATCAACTTTTTTGGGGCAGCTATGCGGGGAAGTCGATGCGACCCCTTCACATCATGGTCACATCAGCTATGTCAAATCGCTTGGGGGAAGGCTGTATTTTGATGGCTCTAGACCAAGAAAATTTGAAGACTTGTGCTGCAAATCTTCTGTTTTCACCCTTGTTGATGTTCACGGGGAAGGCTTCTGATTGGATTTTGTAGCTACAGAGCACAGGATGCCGGCATACAGAATGAAACGCAAGACCTCCAGAATGTGACCCCGGGATCTAGTGGAATTTGTCGGGATGCAGTGGAATGTACTGGAATCTACTAGGAGTATACTAGGAGTTAATGGGATCTAGTAGGCAGAGATGGGACGGGTCTGGAACGACCCTCGAAACGACCCCAAAACGACCCCTGAAATGACCCTCAAATAGGAGCTGATAGGTGACTGATACCCAGACAATTCATGACAACAGGTTCCGCAAGGAATAATCAGAAAAAATACAACAAATGAATGATACTTAGAATGATTATACTCAATTTTGCATGGTACAACGAAAATTGATGCGACCCCCCTGGGAAGCTCCACCCCAACTAACTGACTGAAAACAACAAAATTGATGCGACTTAATGCCCTGACTGTATGGTTTCATTTTGTTGGTTTATTGCACATGTTGGGCACTGCACAATCCCCAATAGTCATTGATTCAATCACAATTCCCCAAAGTTGGTTGTCAAATTCCCAAATCAGCGGCCCAAAGTCAGCAAACGCCTGTTGAAAACACTTCAATGCAGCCACTGGGTCCCTTGGAGATCCCTGCGCGGCGATGGGATTTTCAAAATCGAAGCATTGAGGGTTTTGTTTTAAGTGCATGTTTGGATAGTATGTTCGGGGATGTTTTGGCGGGTATGGCCATGACCAAATCGTTTAATCATGTCAAAATTGCCCCACATCTATACGGCGGTGGCCGAACCCAACATCCTCGAGCCTCCCCGTTGCGATGCATGGAAGCGAGCGTAAGGCATGCCTGCAAAGAAAGACAGGCTTTCAACGCAACGATTGATGACACTGTTGGGGCATCCATGGAAAAAACTAAATGCGCACGTGTGCATGTAAAGCTGGACAATAGGCCACCCACAGGTTTCTAGCAATGTCTAAAACAAAATCTCGGTGATTTTTGGTGGCCCCCATTTTTGGACAACCAATCATAGACACATTGCCACGGTGAAAATTTCCAACATCAAATTTGCATGCATCAAGTGACGCATGAAGTGCATGAGATGGACCTTGGGTGAGTCATGTGATCGGAATTACTATCCACATCCAGTTATGATAAAGATTGATAAAGTCAGTTCAATCCCCGGACAGATCAGTCAATCAGCCCACAATAAAGTACATCAACCCGTTCCGGGTGTATTGTTTGTTCATTTTGCATTTTTTGCCTAAATTTCTGTCTTCCTGATTTTTCTGAATTTGCCCTTAATAAAATGTCCACGTCTTGAAATCGCATTTTCTTTGCTGCATCGTGTTGCAAGAGTGCTTTCCAACACACTCGCCAAGGGGGTAGCTTAAAACGTTGGCGCCAAAAAAACATCATTGTTAGGCCTCCAAGAAGAAGTCCCCAATTTTTGGGACCGTTCCCAAAATCCAGAAGAGAAACAAAATCTAATTCAACTTCCTAATACATTGGATCCTACTTCAATTTCCAGTGGAGGTGATGAGAGCCAGTTCTCGATTGAATTCAATTCCGATGAGTTAAAACAATTTTAACGTTCAAGTCAGAAACTCAACTCCAGCTCAGTTAAAATAAATTCAAAGCTTCGCGTTCAGTTCCAATTAAAAAGGCCCAAAACGATTTGCTATGGAAGTGGACTCCGCGGAAAAACTGAGGACTTAGTCGGCTTGGCGGATCTTCCTGTTGGAGCTGGTGAAATTCCATGCGCAAGGCTCGGAATTGGTTACAGAGACGGCCACTGAGTTCAATGAGTTCAGTGGTACAAGATGTACCTCGAGGTACGTGCGCTGCCGGTGATGGGGATCGGATGTATCTCCGTGATCCCGCATGAAACCATGTTCACGGGCAGCGCTCAGGAGAAATCATCAGGACTTCTACAAGTACCTGTGACTTTGCCAGTGATGAATTCCATCACTTACCAGTGTCTGATGCCTTTGAAGGTCATTACTGCTCTGAGAAGGGAAACCCAAAGGCTAGGACACAAGTTACATGTTTCGTGGCATGCTTTCCTTCCGGAAGGCTGTAACTGACTCTCATTTCTTCATGGGACCGGCAAAGAAGTTGTTTTCACTGCAGGCTGCCCACCTCTGCCACTTGTTGAGAACCAAAATTCATGGAATTTTGTGCTACCATCAAGCCGCGGTCTGCACCTCCTCGTTGCCTTGGTCTGCAGCCTTCTGCAACCAGCCACGCGCCAGAGCCTCCCGAGGCGGGGTCATCCCCCGCTTGATGAGTCGGCGGTCGACTTTTGCGATAGTGTTTCCTACAAATACTTCCAAACATAGGGTATAATCTACAAACAAAAACCCAACACGTACTAGTCGGTCAAGTTCGTCAATGGGAAGCGTTCATCATCCGTATTGATAAATCATTCAAAATGTGACGGTACCACCGATGAAATAACAATCAAACATTGCGTTGTGCCCACGGCTCGGGGTACTACCGACTACCGACATGAAGTATCCCTTCCACTCTGTGTGCACCCAAGCCAACAGCCAAGAACGGCTCCCTTCTGATGTCAATCTGGGGATGGTCCACCACGTAAAAAGCCCGCAAAGCCCACTCCTGGTCTTGCGGCACCCCGGTACCGGTGCGAAACAATTGGCCCACAATCTCTTGAGCCTGGACCAGCATGGGATTCATGGTCAAGCTTTCTGCTGCTTCTCCAGTTACGAAAACAAGACCAACCAACGAACCCGAATGCAATCACGTAAGACACTTATGCGAAACAAATTGTTTAGACAATCTTGTACCTTCTTCTTCCCCTGTGACCAGTACCGTACAATCGTAGACTGTGGAGTGTGGAGAAAGGGGGGTTGCAGAGTGGGGACTTGGAACTGTAGAGTATGAAGAGTGGAGTGTTGAGTGGAGAGTGTGAATCTGGACTGGAAAGCGCAGAGTGTAAGGGGTGGAGCGTAAGAGTGTTGGAGCGTTGGAGTGTTGAATGTCGCGTGGGGATTGGGAAGTCTAAAGTGTGGAGCAGGGTCGGGAGTGTGAACTGTTGAGTGTAAAGTGTGGAGGGCAAAGTGTAGAGTATGGAATGTAGAGTATGGAGAGTAGAGGGTGTGAAGTGTGGTGTGTTAACGGTGTAGAGCAGTGTAGAGCGTAGTGTAAGTGTAGAGTGGAGTGCAGAGGGCGGAGTCTAAGGCGAAGAGTGTGGAGTGTGGAATGTAATGTGTGTGGGGTGTTAAGTGGTGAGTGTAGAGTGTAAAATGTGGAGTGCGGAGTGTAAAGTGTGGAGTGCAGAGTGCGGAGTGCAGACTGCGGAGTGCAACGTGTGGAGTGTAAAGTGTAAGGTGTGGAGTGTGGAGTGTAGAGAGTGGAGTGGGGAGTGTTGAATGTGGGGTGTAAAGTGTGGAGTAAAGCGCGGAGTGTAAAGGGTGGAGTGTAAAGTGTAAGATGATGTGAGATGTGGGTTGGGGAGGTGGAGTGTCAAGTGGGCAGTGAAAACTGTGGAAAGTGTGGAAACTAGATTCTACAGCGGGGGTTGCCACGTCAGCAAATACTGCACCTGTCACACAAAGTGGCATTCCACACGCAACGGAACTTCACCAAATGCTGCGCCTGCCGCGCAAACTAACCCTCTCACAATCGCCCACGTCTGCCACAGAGTTTGCACGCTGTCACCACTTGACGCAGCGCTGACAATGCGACCCGCAAAAGCACGCAGCACGACACGTCTAAAGTGCTGCGCCTGCAACGCAACATGCATGTCATCCTCTGAAAACGATGCAGAACGACTTTTCACACTTAATGAAACATGTTGGAATGTCACGAACTGTCACGCCTGGCACGCAAAACGACCCTGCAACCTCTTCTGAAACCGCAGCTTGCCCCACAGGCACGGCGACACCACAACAAAACCAGAGAAACGAAACGAGACATGTCGGAGGCTCAAAACAAGCATTTCGCACGAGACTTTCTCAAAATTTATCAAAATTTCAAAGTCAGATCTGTAGCTACAACTTTCCTCATGAACCCCAAAGTCTGCCACCTCAAAGTCGATGTTTCGTGCAAGGCTTCCGTCAATTTCCATCACATGTCACAAAGCCCCACGCCTGCCACAGAATTTGCACATTGTCACCACTTGACGCAGCCCTGACACTGCGACCCGCGAAAACACGCAGCACGACACGTCTAAAGTGCTGCCCCTGCCACGCAAAATGAACATGGACACCTACAATGTGCTGCACCTGCCACTCAAAATGCATGTCATCTTCTGAAAACGATGTAAAATTATTGCTCCTGTCACACAGAACGACTTTTGACACGTTACTAGACATGTTGAAATGTCATGAAGTGCCACACCTGTCACACTAAACGAGATTATGCGACGTTTGAACCTCCAAAAGTGACCACTTTTGCAGCACTCGTCAGAGGCACGGCTATAGGGCCCTCACCGCAGTCGTGCCGACGACGGTTGCGAACACAAAAGCAGCGTCAAGCCAACACGACCCAGACCGCCAAAGTACAAAACAAGAACCCTTCGCTACACATTCGGGAAAAATGTCTCACCCAACTAACTAGTTGCACTTCAAGTATCTGTGCAGCTTGTTCAAGTCATCTACCACTGCCCTCTTCTCCAAGAACGTTAGCTGATGCCTGAGCCTAAATGAACCCCTTTGAGCCTCTACAGAGCCTTTTCTGGCTGCCAGCATGAAGTACTGAGCCGCCAAGGTTTCATTGCCTCAGCCAGCACTGAGCTACACTGAGCTGCACTGCTCTTTCCGCCTCAATTGGCCACCGCATCTGCAGACAAGGCACGTTTCACCCCTTCGCCCTTCAGCAACAGCTCACCCAACATCAGCTGGGCAGGGACGTGATCCGCCGCAGCCTGGGTGACATGGCGTGACATCCTCCAACTGGGGAGAGGCTTGCGACAATGCCTGGTGCGCAAGGCCCACATCAACCAGGAAAATGATCTATGCATTCCAAGCCCCGCCATGCAGTCTGAGCCCCCCACCCGCTTCAGCCAATAGGCACCGGAAAGCTTGTCCTGACATTCAAACTGACGCGATAGGACACGTCAATCGTGGGAGCCCGTGGGAGACATGTTGGCATGGGTCAAGACTTCCAAGATGTGGCGTTTGAACGTTAAAAATGGCGGAAGCCTGTGTACCCCCTACTGCAATTCGGAAAAGTCAAGGCCAAAGCCAAGGTATCCCCTTTTCGGAATGCCGAGACTGGGCCGATCAACTCCTCTCCAGCAGGATGGAGCCCAGTCATGTAGAGCTTTCCCATGGCAAACTGGGCTGGTGGATAGCCATCCTGGCAATCGCAGGTGCATCCAGGTGGAATGGCACATGAAGGAAAATTGAGAGTTGCAGTTGTGTACCCCATCCTCTGCAGCCATCAGAACGAAGTTGCACCCAGTGTCTTCATCCTTTTCGCAGCCCTCACCGCGGATCAGCATCATCCTTGGTGTATTGCTGTGACTGAATTTGTTGATCCTCCCTTGCCATTTAAAGTCCCCATCCAAATTTTCCAGCCAAGCATCCCGAGCAAATGTTCTGCTCTCACATGCTCTTGCTGCGCAGCATCAAAGATCAGCTCAAACCTCCCGTTTTCAGGGCAGCTAATCGATACAAACAATCATTTACCCAAGAAAACTCATAGTAGAGGTATTTTGAGGTATTTTGTCTCGTTGATTGAAAATGGTTGGTTTCGCATATTTTTGCCAGAGGAAACCGGCATCAACCGGCCATCCGACTGCGTGGGATTCTGCTGGGCCCCCGAACGCCCTGGTAAAATCCTGTTCAACGAAGCCTGGCACCGGAGAGTCACACAGAGGCACCAACGGAAGCAACGGAGGCAACGGAGCCAGGCGGACGTCCTTTGCGATACACCTGGCCGAGCCTGGCAATTTGCAAGGCCAGCTGTTGAAGGTACCGCAACGCCAAGCACTGGTCATAGGTTGTCATAGGGATGTCAGGATGTCATAGGGATGTCATCAGTGGGATTGTAGTGTAATTGTAAGGTGCAATCCCACTAAGCTCAAACAAAGCCCATGTTGAAAAGTGGGTGTTACTTTGCAGCGTTCTTTTCTGCTAGCGAAAATTGTGAGATTGGTTGGATCCAAGTAACATCAAGTAGCTGTGTAAATATTCTGCTGACAAAGTGGGCAAATCAGCCACCTGAATTGTGCATCAGCATCATTGGCTTTCACCAATTCTTCCAGCTCGGCAATCTCCTGTCCCACGAAGTCAAGCCCATGGCGAAGGTGCCAGCTATTTGTTCAAAAAAGCTGCGATTTCAGATCATAGTTGCCAGGACTAGGGACCAAAAGGGGTAGTTCTGAAAACAATTTTGCCGCATCTGAGGAGGATTCCCCACATGAATCAACCCCTGGGCATATGCATCATGCCATCATGCCAGGCCTTTTTGGCCTGCGCCATGTCAGGGGGTGATACCTGGAACATGGCTACGACACTTCCAAATGTCGGGACAAAAAGTCGACCCTCTAAGAGGTCCCATCCTTTTATGTGCCGGAAACTTCCAAAAGAAAAATGAAACTCCTCAAGGAAAAGGACGAAGTCCTCAACCCAAGTCCGCCAAGTTTCCCTGGCCTCCGCCGCCCATCGAGGCAGCCCATGCCGGAGCACTGGTCTCACCTGGGAATCACCATGGCATAGCTTTTTTGCAGCAAGCATCTCATGGGACAACTAAGGAGCCAGCTGAGTGTCCCACAAACCTCAGGTTTTGATCTGAAGTGAAACTGCCAAATCCACAGCAGCTTGTGCAAAAGAAAGCAGAATCAGTTGATATCAGGTGGTGTATTCTTCATGCTTCAGCCTTGAAAACCTTGGAGCCGTTGCCATTGGTGACATTGGTGGGTGGCTTCCGCCATCACCACGAACAAAGTCAGCGACTGAGGTTGCAATCGAGCAGCAGAAGGGAAGACTTCAAGATGCTTCCAATACACACACCCAACAGCCAGAAGGGCCATATCCTGCGCATGCAATCAACCACCACAACAACAGAAAACCAGAAATCAATAGAAATCAGAGATGTGTTGCAGTTTTGCATGAAGGTGGCTGAAAAAGAAAGAAAACAAGAATGGATATGAATGGATGCCAAAACGGTGAGTGAATGAAAAATGCTATATACCTCAAACAGCCCTGTCACGCAGTCCTCCAAGCCCTGTCCATCCCAGTGCACCCGTGCACACAGCGCGGGCCCATGGGTAGAGCTTCAAATCTACACGGAATAAACCACCCAACTCATCCATCACTGCAAGGGATACAAGTTGACTAGTTGACTGCATGCCCCAACCCACAAAAATGCCAAGGTCAGTTCATCTTCAAACTGGGCAAACAGGTCGGACCTTTGGAGAGGCAATTGGCCCTGTGTCAGTTTTGGGATGCTTGTACCACTTCGATTTGGACGGAGATGTTCCTTGAGCAACCAGGCAACGGTCCTGTGATCATCCAAATGGGGATTCTGAGATGAAGATCTTGAAGATCTCCGCTAACATGTCCAGCCCAACTTGACCAGGGTCCTTCAATGGCACTTCAATGTGACTTCTGACTTCCACAAGGCTGGCACCAAACGCTTGCAGATCGCTTGCAGCGGCAGGGGCTCTGCTTTTGGTTGGATCCTTTTACTCCAAGTTCCGTAATGTCAGCACAGGTGGTCCAGTGGTCGGAGCCACTGAGCCACCCTGGCTGGGATGCAGCCTCTGTGCTTGCACCCCAGCGAGGAACAAGAAACCGTAGTTCAAGCACGTCGAATTGGTTTGGAGGGATAGGAGACAAAAGTTGGACAGCGCCGGCAGCCGCAGGCTGCTGGTGTTTAGCCCCTTCCTCCGACTCCCTCCAGGCAGTAGCCCCATAAAAACTGTGAAAATTCAAGTGATCACAAAGCTCGGTGAGGCCGGGGACGATGGAGAAAATGGACTAAATATGACCAAAGGACCAAAATGACCAAAGCTCAAATTGGACCAAACTCTCTGACTCTGAACCAATCATCACTTAACAATGTTAGGGAGGATTTGTCCCTGACGCGAGAGAAAAGATGTAACTTAGTCATTTACATTCATTTACAAACTTCAAGGAGTTTCACGAATCATCCCAGTAGGGATGGTTCCAAAAAGCAACACAAGTGTATAACAACCAGTTCTGGTGAATAGAATTCATTTTCAACCCAACACGATTCACTCAGACTTATGAAAGACTGGCCGTCAAAACCCAAACTGAGCTCCACTCCGACTGGACGGTGTATCTGACGCAGCCAACTTTGCTCAACAAAAAGATCAAAAAGAACAACAACAACAAAACAACAACAACAACAACAACACCAACAACAACAACACCAACAACAACAATTTGTTGTTTTAGTTTGTTCGAATTTGTCCGTGTAGCTCACTCCAACAACTCGTCCCAGACTGTCACCATCTGCCAAATTTGGAAGACGATCAGAGCGATCTAGTTTTTGATCACGAAAGTTCCCCAGCGAGGAAAAACCCTGCAGAGCTCTGAAGGTCGCAAACCCCGCCAGTAAGAACACTTTGAAAAAACAAGGAACAAGGGATGGCCCAGCACCGCTTCGAACAAGGAAGTGTGTGAAGGAGAGCATATCCAGAGCTCCACACAAGAGGTCAAGATTGAAGCGCATCTTGGGCCAATTGCACCCGTCTGCACTTGGAGGTATTGCCTGAGAATCCTAGATCTTGGCAGCAGGCTCCAGGCAACGGATGGTCTCCACGCTGTACGGAAGAACATGGAACACCATAGTCACAATGGCTATCTATGATCACTGTATGACTAGAAATGTCACTGTGGCATCAAGAAGTTCCTTACCAGTAATTCTTCTACCTAACACTCTACGGATTCCAGCTCACAACCAAATGCCCACGGCCAGCTTTGACCCATCCAACCATATCAACCATATCCTATCCAAACTCCTTCTCAGTTTTACTGAAACGTTGAGGACCAACGGCCAGAGCTAAAACTGCAAACGGCTTCTCAGGACCTGAGCGAGCTGTTTGTACCAAGCATACACTCCACTGAACCAGCCCTGGGCCTTCGCAGCCAGTGACACAACAGACTATGTTGGGTGGTAACTTGCAGGGTTGAGATGAAACTTGCAGAGTGACACAATGGGAGGGAAAGCGCCGCAGAAGGTTCCAAAACGTGGAATAGATATGTATGTATGTATTTGTGAATATATATATATATATATATTATATTATTCATAGTCATGCTCATTACGTTATACATAAACAATCATATAATGTTGATGTTGCATGATATTATGTATGTGTCTAATCAAGGACACGTGGACTCTCAAAGTCACTCCATCCTCCAAATTGCCAAATCGGTTGCCCTATGGCCCTATGCTGGCCTCCCGGCCACTGGAGCATTGGTATCACAGTGGAGCAGCTCAGTTTCCCAACCCCAAAACGGTGCTAGACACACACACAGTCCAAGTCAAATGCCTTCAGACGCTTCGCAGACAGACTTCCACTTGGACAGACGCCGAGTTTTCGTCCTACAGACTCCGCCACTGAAGGCATGGGTCTACAACGTACAGCTGGGTACTGGGATCCCTATGCAGCAGCCATAAGTGCGTCAGGTCCATTTCGAACCATTTCGACCCATTTCGACCCAATAGGCCAAGAATGTAAGAGTTTCGTAAGAGTTTCAACTGAATTTCAGCAAACGCAATGGAAAAAGTACCCATTAGCATCCATGAGCCTTTGCAACGATTTTCTACTGGACGATTCCGCATGTTGAGCCCACAACTCAGGGGGCGCGTCCGGCCCCAAAAGCCTCGTATTTAGGAAACAGTCGGTAAGGAGCTGGTGAATTATTTACCATTCATATGCCCAAGTATTCGATTCCGGTTCTACCAGTATATGCCATTCATGATGCATGAGGATGTTTGATCAACTGCAGCGGCTGCTTTATCCCCGTGCCCAGCTATGCTGGAAAAGATCCCGCGGACTAGCGAAACTCCAAGATGGTATGACAGGCCCCACTAGTGGGGCCCACAAAAGTCGACCATCTTGACACCACAGTCCTTGCAGCATCACCGAGTCGTTAGTGATCCCAGCGATGGATGTTCTTTGGCTCAAGACTTTGGAGAGTTCCCACCAACACCAGCTGGATTTGGTGCGTCCCTCTCCTGAATTCTGAGCTCGTCACGATCCTCCAAACCCATCGTGAATTTTGTGGAGCAAAGCTTGCAGACTATACAAATTGGATCAAAACAGCCGATGTTTGTATTGGCTGCTGTTCGCTGACACCTGCGGCCCTGTCACCGCCTGAGAGAATGACAGAAAACTGAGTGGGGAGCTGGTAGGCCCGCTTGAAGCATGCAGATTTCCAGATCATCTGTGATGCTGGGAACCAGAGATTCTGGCGTATTCAACCAATTCAACTAGATGCAATATTCAAATATATTCAACATGATTTA